CTGAGGATCTTTTTATTGTTGTGATAAATGATGTTTTAAAGACATGTCTAGGTTCCTTTAATCCCATATATATACAGTTTCACTTATCAAGGTAAACTATTACACAGTAAGGGATGATAACCCATTCACTTTTAGAAAATTTGCCTGTTTTTCACTACCCACCGTATATTGTTTTCTTATTCTAACTCATACTATTTGATTCTCTCTCCCTTTACCCAAGGTACAGTGAAAATATTTTGTGTAATGTTCCCCAAGAACAGTGAAAATATCACACTCGAACACACACCACCACCATGCACACACATTGGCCTCTTACACGACCAGCCACTGACTGAGATGGTTGGGGAAAGATTTCTCTGTTTATCTTTGTCTAATCCAAACCATCCTATCAAAATTACTAAAACAATTGAATAAAATTGGATTGGATTAGCTCTTTAGACCATTTATGCATCACTTGTATCAATTATATTTCAATTTGGCATTATTAATTATGTGTATTTGCATCTTAATTACAACCCGCAGTCTCTTCATGGATATGCATTCCCTCCACCAGTTCTCATTCCAAGTGTCGTACCAAAGATTGTGTTAACATGGAACCTGAAACTGACTTTGGTCTCGCCCTACTGGCCATCGAGAACATGGTTTCCATGGTTTTTAATTACAGCAGAAGGAAAACCAAGTCAAAGCTTCCAAACTGGCCACATCCTCATTGACAAGATTGATGTACAGTAATTAACACTGTATATCAGTCTTGTCAATTGTATAAATCCAAATATCCTTCATGTTAGCATCTACACCAAACCATCGTTCCCACTGCAATATAGAAGTTGTCATTCCATATGACTTGTTCCTCTTCACCATACCAACTTCTGAAAGCCATTCCATATAACTTGTTCCTCTCCATACCAACTTCTGAGAAGCCATTCCATATAACTTGTTTGATACCAACTTCTCCATTCCACTTGTTCCTCTCTTACCAACTTCTGAAAGCCATTCCATATAACTTGTTCCTCTTCATACCAATACCAACTTCTCCATACCAACTGAAAGCCATTCCATATAACTTGTTCCTCTCTCGATACCAACTTCTGAAAGCCATTCCAACTTGTTCTCTCGATACCAACTTCTGAAAGCCATTCCATATGACTTGTTCCTCTTCACCATACCAACTTCTGAAAGCCATTCCATATAACTTGTTCCTCTTCCATACCAACTTCTGAAAGCCATTCCATATAACTTGTTCCTCTTCATCATACCAACTTCTGAAAGCCATTCCATATAACTTGTTCATACCAACTCTCATTCCATATAATACCAACTTCTGAAAGCCATTCCATATAACTTGTTCCTCTTCCATACCAACTTCTGAAAGCCATTCCATATAACTTGTTCCTCTCCATAAGCCCATATAACCAGCCACTTGTTTCTTCTCGATGCCAACTTCTGAAAAGCCATTCCATATGACTTGTTCCTCTTCACCATGAAAGCCATTCCATATAACTTGTTCCTCTTCTCCAATCTTCTGAAAGCCATTCCATATAACTTGTTCTCGATACCAACTTCTGAAAGCCATTCCATCGTTACCAACTTGTTCCTCTTCCATACCAACTTCTGAAAGCCATTCCATATCTGGAAATTCCTTGTTTGTTCCTCTTCACCATACCAACTTCTGAAAGCCATTCCATATAACTTGTTCCTCTCGATACCAACTTCTGAAAGCCATTCCATATGACTTGTTCCTCTTCACCATACCAACTTCTGAAAGCCATTCCATATAACTTGTTCCTCTCGATACCAACTTCTGAAAGCCATTCCATATGACTTGTTCCTCTTCACCATACCAACTTCTGAAAGCCATTCCATATAACTTGTTCCTCTCCATACCAACTTCTGAAAGCCATTCCATATGACTTGTTCCTCTTCACCATACCAACTTCTGAAAGCCATTCCATATAACTTGTTCCTCTTCACCATACCAACTTCTGAAAGCCATTCCATATGACTTGTTCCTCTTCACCATACCAACTTCTGAAAGCCATTCCATATAACTTGTTCCTCTTCATCTTACCAACTTCTGAAAGCCTCTTACAGAAGAAACTACCTGATGTTCTTTGATGTTTATCAAGTTGCTGTAGAACATTTTCTGAAATTCTGTGTGTTGGTCCCAGGCGGCTGATCGTGACTGCAGACCCACAGTGGCCTAAGATGAAACTGTCGGGCACTCTTCCATCACTCACCTTCCATCTCAATGAAAGAAAGGTCAGTTAACTGAATCAGTCCCTTTAAACTGTGTTTACACCTGTGTGAGTGTAAGTATCACAGGTGTCTCAGTAATTGTGTGTGTTGTTAAGTAGTACATGTTGGACCTGCTGGCTACCGTAGGTCAGGTCCTAGTTTGTACCTTCTTCATATGAAGGACTTAGAACATTTGGTTTGTTCTTTTGTTAGTTGTTTAAAGCCATAGTGTGATAGTGGTCTGTCTTTGACCTGAGTGAATCATTATAGCTGTGATTGGTTGGATGGATTAATTCATCATTGGTAAGAAGAAAGATTTGTTGAAGAGCGAAATTTACGTTAAATTCCTCATTCAGAGCTCATGCTTGATTATCTCCATTCTATCACCTGATAACTGCAATAGGTACCTTCAGAGTGTGGTTTAAATAAAACTATGCTAAAAATAACGACCCTATAAAATTACACACTTCTGTTGCAAATGAAACAAATGGCGATATGTCCTGTATTTCTACTACTTGCCTTGTTGCTGCTACCTGGAGACACCTGACAGTTGGAGGGCTTCAGTGTTGATCTTACTTGACTTCCTGCTTAAAGTTCATTTATGACAGTCTCTCAGATTGATCAAATGTATCAAGTGCTGACAGTTTTATATTCTTCAAAGAAAGTCCTATTGATTTCAAACTCATGAGCTGAAGAAACTCGTTAGTGATAAGCGTCAACAAGATGATTGGCTTTACTTCCTAAGTAAAGCATGGGTAGTAAATGGGTCCATCATAGTTAACAAGATAGAAGGAAAATGTAATAGCATGGATAATGTATACATTCCATATGATTGTGCTTGCCTGTGATGACGTACCACCTTGTATTTCCAGATCCATGCAGTCAACACCTCCGTGGACATAGTGTCCAGTGGTAGCTCCAGTTCCTCACTGCAGACAGTCATGGACAACATGTCCAGTGTTGATTCCGACCTTGGACAGCGGTCACAGACATCTGTGTAAGTACATCACCTCCATGGACATAGTTTCAAACCCAAACAAAGCCATTTGATGGTTGTAACAGGAAGTCTGTATGTTCTGATGGAGGGCAATAGCAGGTGCTTGAGATGGGGTCAAACCAAACAGTGATGTTTCCATGTTTCAGCAGTGAGCCTGTGATGAAGAAAGGCAAGGAGGAGATAGACAACAAGCTGGTGGTGCTGCAGTTCCTCATCCACAGCCTGTCCGTGGAGATACAGAGTCAGGGTACATATCACAAAGACTTTAGCTTCAAACAGGCCCTCAGCATCATGTTAGTGGGCTGTCATCAGCTAACTAGCCCAGAAAGGGGAGGGTAACCTGCAGGTTCTTTGGCTCATAGCAACAAGAACCCAGGTTTCAATTCCCCACATGGGTACAAAGTCCAGTGTCACCAGCATTGATATTGCAGGAATATGCTTCGATTGTAACCCAACTAAAAAAAGCCAAAATGAAATTTGACAGGCCTCATTTGTAAACTTGTGTCATTGGCCTTGATGAAGTCTAAGCTGAATAAATATAAACTTTTTGTAAACATGCAAGCAGATTAGTCATAAGATTAAGTTGTTGAGTAGATATGTCCATCACATGCTTCGAAGTTTTGTCTGGGACTTGAGGCAGTGTATGAATAAAGCCTTACCTGGACCCAGTCTAGTCTGGCATCGCCCTTTGTAGGTCAAGCTCTAGCTGAGTTCCAAGTGACCGATGTCCAGGCAGATGTGTCCAAGAAGTCCCACAACACCTCCCTCAAGCTCACCGTCCACAGTCTCCTTGTGGTGGATGCCCTGCAGAGCTACGGACCTGACTTCGAGCTTCTCATTGCTTCACACAAACATCTGGTGTAAGTAATACCGATACTTCTGTCAGGATTTCAGGGTAGAATATGTACCCAATGTTTGTTGTAAGACCGGACAAATGAGAATGTTGCCTGGATCACAAGGATTGTTGTTATACTGCTGATTTAAAGTGTTTCTCTCCTGCGTTCCCTGACAATCAGTGACTGAGTTGATGAGGAGTAAACAAAGACCATGTGATGCCATAGGAGCAAAGTGTCACACCTTGAAATCATGTAACTCAGGACTGCCAACATCCAGGGACTTTGTGTGAGCATCAACCAACATTCAAGGACTGAGATGTCTAAGCCAGCCTCCTTGCAAACTATGGCACTCAGGGTTGTTGTTTTCCAACAGATTAGGTTAATCTGCGGCCTGCCATCCATCCGTGGGAGAAGTGTATAACATAAAATAGGATCAGTTTTGAAAATTTGAAAACTTTAACAATAAATTCCTGGTGTTCCCACCCAACAAAGCCCTCTATGCAGATTACTGTTCACAGGTATGTACATTCCTACAGTCTTGTGTAGCCTGAAACTATACATCTAGTTATTCCGATTGTATGCACTGTAATGTGGTGTAAAGAGTAGGTTTCTAAAGAGTAATCTGTCAAACTGTCAAGGTATCACAACTGAAAATGGCAGTATGGCAATGCATGTATGTTAGGATACCAATAGGTAACATTGATGCTGAGCCTTGCATTGGATAGCATCAATTAATATAGTAATGTAAACATAAACTATATTATAGAAAAATGGATCCTTCATCGTCTGATTTTACTCTTGCTTTTGTTTTGTCAAACAAACCACAACTTCTCGGGCACTGACACAACCACACACCTTCCTGCACACACCCAGACACTTGAACACCCACCCACATATAGACACACCCATACAGTTGTGCATTCACTTATGGCATGGTTCAAGGACCGACCTCCCCCCAGTCACAGAAGGCCGGAGAGGATGTTAATGGCAGCCTTGGTCCCTCGTTCCCTCGTCTGGGACAGAACTCTGAGGCCCTCATCATCATGGAGTATGAGCAGATCGTGGACCCCGGACTGGAGGGGGACAAGACAGTTGATGGGGGCATGCAGATACTCAACCTGCAGTTCAATAGTCTGGATTTCATAGGTTAGTCCCACTTGCTAAGCCAGGATCTGCTGTGCTGTGAGTCACATTAGAACCCCATGTAACTCACCACCACACCCTGCTTTTGTTAGTTTGTTGTTTAACGCCACACTCAGCAATATTCCAGCTATATGGTAGCAGTCAGTAAATAATTGAGTCTGGACCAGACAGTCCAGTGATCAACAGCATGAGCATCAATCTACACAACTGGGATATGATATGACTTGTCAGCCAAGTCAGCGAGCCTGACCACCCAATCCCATTAGTCACCTCTTACAACAAGCATGGGTCACTGAAGACCAGTTCTAAGTTGGTTCTTGATGAGTACACACCCTAATCCTCAGTTTGACCAATGTGATAAAGGTCTACTGTGCTGATTCAGGATGCCTCTCACCTGAAGGTGACATGCAGTGATAGAACTTAAGTACTGTTTAAAATGTTTTTCTGTTACTCTTCCTTTTTAGACTGAAAATGACTGGCAGAGGTTTTTGTGCCTTTGTTTTTTGTTGGCATTGGCTTTAGCTAAACAATGATGTGATATCAGAAATTTACTTCACTTCCATTACTAGTTAGCCCAGAAAACAAATTACTGGTTTGTACAATTTTTCTTTTGCAATAAAAAGTCAATGATAGAAATCTTCCAATGACGCTTTCTTCATGGCCTTGGGGAATATTTTTGAGGCACTTATCATGAAAAAGTCAAGGTCACTAGATAGAGGAACAGTTTGTGGTTAGTGTTCTTTTAATCAATAAGAAAACCTTATAGATGGTTATATATACCATCTCTGGGAAGGGGATCTGCTCTGAAAATGTTTTGGTTGAGGTGAGTCAAGGTCAAGGTCATCTTTGATGTTATTGATATTTGACTTTTTAATGTTGTTTATAAATGTTCAAAATCTTGAGGTTATGTTTATTTTTCCTTATCCTGACTCATGCTCTTTTTGCTTGTCTTCTTCTTCTTGCGAACATAGTGGAACACTTGTATCTCCCTAATTGAAGCTCCCTTCAATTTAAAATCACTAATTAGTATTCACCACGAGTTACCTCCTTTCCACAAGCGCGGGAACGAGGGCGCCACCTCTACCCATGTGCCTCACTCTCTCCTTCTTCGCCCAGTGAGCTGGACGTGAGAGCGCCTGTGTCTCCCGACACACTATATCCTTTGAAATATATTTAGTTAGTTACCTCGTATAGACATCTATAGAGGTTTAGCTAGTATCCTTCAAGCGATTATATATTGATATTTAGTCGTTTTCTACAGTTTATTCCACGGGGCCGTGTTTGTTTCAGTGGATTACGTTGATGAAAATTCTGTACTATTGCAGATTACGTTTTTATGCTGCTGCTGATCCGCCTTTAATATGATATGCGGCGCCATGTTTATTATATTCACATTGCAGTTCTTGGTACTAATTTATCCAATTCTACCTTTTTATTAATATTTACTGCGTTTGCTTACGCTGCAGCAGATAGGTCGCTGTATGCAGACTCTAGTATGACTGATACACGGGAACCCCTCGCCAGTCTACTGCTGTTGGCCGACTACCCTCCCGTGTGGTGTTCGCTAGAGTGGTGGAGAGGTGTGGGGCGTGATCCGCCATCTCCAGAAGCATCCTGCTTCCCCCAGACATCCCATCGTCGCAGCAGAAGACTAGAGGGTTTTTCTACCACATCTCAACAGCGGGACCGTTCCATCGCCAGTTTGGGCCTGTTTGATGATCAGCCGGTCATCATACCAGATGTACATCAAAGATTGACCGATGTCGGCTCAGATCAGCATGCAGCCTGACGTACCAACGCCAGATATGCGATGATCGTCCTGAGGGTCCCATCATTACCAACACTCACGCAGACGGCGCATCGCACCCAGGGCAGCGTCGACCTCTGAGGAAAATCAACGAAGTCTACTAGGACTTTCTCAACCCGAGATTGTTCCAGCCGATGACCTGGACCTACGATGATCAGCTGATCATCATCCCCGACGTCGCATACAAGAAGCGACCGGTGACAGCTACAGCGACATCAGCAGAGATCACCATGCAGCCTGATGCCTCTACACTGATGTCGGACGATTTTTCGGTGGACCCCTCCATTAACACCGCAGATAAAGCACCGGCGACCTCGCCGCAGACCATCCCAGAAGACATGATGCGACAAATTATGAACATCATGGAGGACCACTATATCTGCGGTAGCAGGGTCCGAACCAGCGAAGGCTCCAACGTGAACAGCACCCCCAGAGGCACCCCGTCCACGCGTAGCAGCCAGGGCGATGTCACCTTCAAGAAGGAAGTCCGGACCACCTTGACGCGAAGGACCTAGATGTACAGCCTTTCGCGAAGGCCTTTGACCAGCAAGGCGGAAAGGACCTAGATGTACAGCCTTCGCGAAGGCGGGAAAGAACCTAGATGTACGCAGCCTTCAAGCGAAGGACTTCGCGAAGGCAGGATAGATCATCACCTTATGCGGTTTCATCCCTAGATGTGGACTCGGACCATCAGACATCACGGAAGCCAGCCGAAGGTCATATCGCCGTTCCCGGACCGGACGCAGAGAGGAAGCTTCAGCGAAGGCATGCTAAGGACACCCTGAATCCAGATCATCATCATCTAGAAGGACATCGAGGGACTATACAAGAGCTTATGCCGAAACTATCAACGTTCCCTCACAAGTCTCGAGAAGATCAACCCATAGACAAGTTGATCATCGATATCAAGTATAAGAACTACAATCGTATATTGGTTCTGTTGAATCCATGACGAGGACGATGTTCGCTGGCCTAAATAGATCTAGAGCGATCAATTAGACACTTATCACCAGACTTCATTAATACGACTTCTGAATATGATAAGATGATCCATGCGCTTTCTTTTAGGCAAGCGCATGCCGATCCCACATCCTGTTAAACACAGAGGCTGTTCACGAAGCAAGCTCATATATATATTTATATATATATATATATACTAATCGGGCTTTGATTTCAATAATCTTCGCGATGGTCGCGAAGGCTAAGTGGCTCCAAGTCTACTTCACCCAGAAGATCTAGAAGGGATACTTGAGAACTTGCCGAAGTCTCCAGCGTTCACCGAGGAAGTCTCCTCCAAGGTTTCCATATACTAGCCACTTTCGTCATATATAGCTACTCGTCAGTCCGTTCAAGACATCGCATAAGTTGATTATCAACTGTATGCCAGATGCCGTCTATAAGCCTACGCGAAGATAATTGCTCAGGCTATTTACAACACAGAACGCCGCTGTATTATTAGTCAACGACATTTCATAGATCTTCACAGAAATCAACTATTCCGTATAAATTGCTAATATACAATCGGACGACGATCACGATTATCTACATGCGTGACCATTACTACATATCTGCAGACAATTCAATATCGAAATTGAACAGCAGCCTTGTTGCAGAGTATAACTCTTAATCGTCAAAGTTTCTGAGAAGAAATATGTACAACAAGTTCAACGTTAATTCTACAATTATGACGATACATTCATGTATACAGTCTACAAGCTCACAACTTGCAAGTTGTTTATACCCTTATATATAAGGAAGTCGGAATTATATTCAAAACTGAAATTACTTTCACGACAACCAGGAAAATAACCTACCCAGCATAAAATTACAGAGCGAGATATTTGGCAATGGGAGGTTTTCGGCCGATTACCATTAACCCTCGAAACCATTGGTCACTCCCGGATAACCGGGAAGTTACGGTGAAGACCGACGTTTATGCTAATATCAACGGCGACAAGAATTTATTCAAGGTGGGGTTTTTCCGCTACACCCGGTGACATCACAGCGGGTATTATACAGAATCAAAATGCCTTGTTCTGATTGGACGCGAGGGACAACGTACCTACACAGAGGTCGATCTCAATTCACAGTTCAAGACTTACGTCACAAGTGACAACTATATATCAGTGAGAAAGCAAGCCTCATTACAGTCCAGTTAACCTGAACATTCATGATTAGACTGCCTTTCTTCAAGTTAGAGACCTCCCCTGTCAAGTTAAGACGAGGGATCGGCAGTCAGGCGATTTTACATAAAGTTCAACGAGGACAGACACACCTGGTTGTGCACCTACATCGTCAAGGACTTAGCGAATTACCTAGAGCGAAGATACAAGTGGATCTAAATCCACAGCGTTTCAGACTACAGCTGAATTTCATCAAGCGACTAACACAACTAGATGGTTAGTAAACCTACTAAACTTCTGTTTGGAGAATAAAGCGGAAATTTCACCCAACCTGGGATATGAATATAGTGCTCCAACACCTCACAAGTGAGGTTTATGAACACGCCTGGATGACATACTTGGACCCCATGATACGATGATTCTATCAAGTTGGCCAGCAAGAGCACTGTAAATTTATCTCCACCAAACCAAACAGGAGGAAAAATGCAACAGATTATTTCCTCTATCATCAACTTACGCCGAGTGAAGTCTCATGTACTATATCTCCATTTGGATCAGAGCTGTCATACTACGATGCATATGCGGATGGACCTATTCCGACCCTCCATGAGCTTAATACTCATGATATTATAGCTAACTTCTACAATTGTTCTACACAAATGTGATTGAAATAATGGAGGGTTATTTCTGAAATCGATATGGTGGTTGCAAACCATTATCTGAGAGATATCACCACCGAGGCGTCTCAGGTATACACCAATTCGATCCATGGTCCTCGCTACAACAGCTGACAGTTCTCGGAGAAGATAAGTCAATCTAACAGATTTTTACTTATCTTATAACAATACTAAATAGCTTCATGCTATGTATAATTTACTTAAGTTCCTTTTATCATCACAGTACTATGATTATTACATCATACAATATATAAGTTAACAACTCTACAGAGTTTGTTATTATATATATTTACCTTAAGTTATTCATATCTTAAGAGTAATACTATGGTTACATGATAAATGCATTAGCTAACAAACTCTACAGAGTTTTTGGCTATTTTATACATAGCTTAAGTTAATTAAGCTAACAAACTCTCGGAGTTTTACTATTATATAGGTGGCAAGCTAATTATACCTTAAGCATGGTACTATACTCATATTATTAAAAATATATTGGCTAACAAACTCTAAGGAGTTTTGCTATTATATAGGTAGCAAAGCTTATTCATATCTTAAGCTTAGTACTATGTTTATATCATATAAGTAGATTAGCTAACAAACTCTAAAGAGTTTTTGCTATAAGTATCATCATATTTCTAAGCAATATGGTTATATTATAACATGTATTAGCTAACAAACTCTACAGAGTTTTAGCTATTATATATGTAACTTAAGCTTATTCATATCTTAAAGCAGTACTATGTTTATATCATATAGGTATATTAGCTATCAAACGCTAAAGGGGTTTTTGCTATTATATATTTCGCTTAAGTTTCATCATATATTTTAAGCTTTATGGTTACATTATAACATGTATTAGCTAACAAACTCTACGGAGTTCTTGCTTTTATATATGTAGCTTAAGTTTTCCTTCATAAGCTCAATACTAGGTTTATATCATAGCTAACAAACTCTAAAGGGTTGTTTTCGCTATTATACAATTAGCTTAAGTTTCATCATATCTTAAGCAGTATGTTTACATTATAAAAGGTATTAGCTAACAAAACTTCGACGGAGTTTTGTTATTATATATATATATAGCTTAAGTTTCATCATAACTTAAGCTCAGTACTATGTTTTAACATAAAAGTATATTAGTTAATAAACTCTAAGGAGTTTATTTTGCTATATACTTTTTAGCTTAAGTCTAATCTTATCTTAAGCTTAGTACTATGGTTACACTATAAACATATTAGCTAATAAACTCTACAGAGTTTTTGGCTATTATATATGTAGCTTAAGTTAATAATATCTTAAGCACAATACTATACTCATATTGTAAAATATATTAGCTAACAAACTCTCCACTTGAGTTTTGCTATTATATATGTAGCTTAAGTTCATTATATCTTAAGCACACTACTATACTCATATTGTAAAATATATTAGCTAACAAACTCCCACGGAGTTTTGCTATTATATATGTAGCTTAAGTTAATTATATCTTAAGCACACTACTATACTCATATTGTAAAATATATTAGCTAACAAAACCCTACAGAGTTTTGCTATATATATGTAGCTTAAGTTAATTATATCTTAAGCTCAGTACTATACTAATATTATAAATATATATTAGCTAACAAACTCTACAGAGTTTGGCTATTATATATGTAGCTTAAGTTAATTATAGCTTAAGCACAATACTATACTCATATTATAAAAATATATTAGCTAACAAACTCTACAGAGTTTGGCTATTATATATGTAGCTTAAGTTAATTATAGCTTAAGCACAGTACTATACTCATATTATAAAAATATATTAGCTAACAAACTCTACAGAGTTTTTGCTATTATATATGTAGCTAAAGCTTATTCATATCTTAAGCTCAGCATTATATCTATATCATATAAGTATATTAACTAACAAACTCTAAAAGAGTTTGCTATTATATAATTAGCTTAAGTTTAATCATATCTTAAGCTTAGTACTATGTTATATCTTAAAGTATTTTAGCTAACAAACTCTAAGGAGTTTATACTAGCATATTAACAAGCTTAAGTCTATTAGTCTTAAGCATTGTATTAATGTTATATATACTTTATCATAATAAGTACATGGTAATAACCTTTATATGGCAGCTGATAAGTTAGCAGCAGGAATTCATCAGTTCAGTGCCTTTATGAAGTTCCCATAGGGTTATTACAATCATCACAGTTCAAATCACTAATTATTAAAAATCCAAAGTATTAGATATTCCCACCTCCGTTCAGTAGAGGGATGCTACAAGCAAAAAAGAGCATGAGTCAGGATAAGGAAAATATGTAATTTTGGAGTAAAATTGATATTTTATACTTATCCTGACTCATGAGGTCAGCCTCCCATCCTCCCCAAATAACACACTTTGGATTTCCTGTAAATTCAAATGTTGGGCTCAGTATATGAGGAGAGAGTGAGGCACATGGGTAGAGGTGGCGCCCTCGTTCCCGAGCTTGTGGAAAGGAGGTAACTCGTGGTGAATACTAATTAGTGATTTTAAATTGAAGGGAGCTTCAATTAGGGAGATACAAGTGTTCCACTATGTTCGCAAGAAGAAGAAGACAAGCAAAAAGAGCATGAGTCAGGATAAGTATAAAATATCAATTTTACTCCAAAAATTACATTTTTAGGGTGGGGGAATTGCTTGCAAAACATCTAGTTTAGGCTTATACCTTTGTTACAGTATTTTACTTTTACTGATTACACAATAGATCGTTTTTAATGTATTCCAGCAAACCAGGAAACCATTGTAGAGATTCTCAGTTTCTTGAAGAGAGCATTCCCATCCTCCAGCGATAAACAGTCCTCCAGACCGCCACAGGACAGACGGCAGTCGAAACGCCAAGACTCCATCATTGTACGTGTAGTCTTCATCATTGCTGTGTCAAATCACTAAGTATCGTTATGATATCCAAGCACCGAATAGCCCATGCATGTGTTCTTAATGGATTTGGAAAAGGTCCTGAATCCCTGCACATATGCAGTTACTGGGGAAGCAGAGCAAATACATCACCACCCCTCTGCCACCCCACACCACTACACCACACCGCAAACATTTTTGTACTTGTAGTCAGAGGAAACATTTTGGTGCTTGTAGTCAGGTCATGTGTTCTGCTACTTGCAGTCAGGTCATGTGTTCTGCTACTTGTAGACAGGTCATGTGTTCGCTACTTGTAGTCAGGTCATGTGTTCCTGCTACTTGTAGTCAGGTCATGTGTTCTGCTACTTTCTAGTCATCAGAGGAAACATTTTGGTGCTTGTAGTCAGGTCATGTGTTCTGCTACTTGTAGTCAGGTCATGTGTTCTGCTACTTTCTAGTCATCAGAGGAAACATTTTGGTGCTTGTAGTCAGGTCATGTGTTCTGCTACTTGTAGTCAGGTCATGTGTTCTGCTACTTGTAGTCAGGTCATGTGTTCTGCTACTTGCAGTCAGGTCATGTGTTCTGCTACTTTCTAGTCATCAGAGGAAACATTTTGGTGCTTGCAGTCAGGTCATGTGTTCTGCTACTTGTAGTCAGGTCATGTGTTCTGCTACTTGTAATCAGGTCATGTGTTCTGCTACTTTCTAGTCATCAGAGGAAACATTTTGGTGCTTGTAGTCAGGTCATGTGTTCTGCTACTTGTAGTCAGGTCATGTGTTCTGCTACTTTCTAGTCATCAGAGGAAACATTTTGGTGCTTGTAGTCAGGTCATGTGTTCTGCTACTTTTAGTCAGGTCATGTGTTCCGCTACTTGTAGTCAGGTCATGTGTTCTGCTACTTGTAGTCAGGTCATGTGTTCCGCTACTTCTAGTCAGGTCATGTGTTCTGCTACTTTCTAGTCATCAGAGGAAACATTTTGGTACTTGTAGTCAGGTCATGTGTTCTGCTTCTTGTAGTCAGGTCATGTGTTCTGCTACTTGTAGTCAGGTCATGTGTTCTGCTACTTGTAGTCAGGTTGTAGCCAGGCCATGTGTTCTGCTACTTGTAGTCAGGTCATGTGCTCTGCTGCTTGTAGTCAGGTTGTAGCCAGGTCATGTGTTCCGCTACTTGTAGTCAGGTCATGTGTTCTGCTACTTGTAGTCCGAGGAAACATTTTGGTACTTGTAATCAGATCATACAACTGAAGTCATAGGTGGTCTAACATTTGATGAATGCCCAATGCCTGTGACACTATGGAATGTGTCTCTGGATGCTGAGATTAAAACAATCATTCACAATGAATCCTGATTGTAAATGGTTTTGAAACTTAGTTCCAGCCCAAGAAGGACAAGTTGATGGTGACAGCTGACTTTAAGAGGCTGAACATCCTGCTGCCTCGCTTCAGTGAGAAGGACGCGCGAAAGGTTGGGAAGAAGGTTGCCACAGCAACCATGTCCACGGCCAAGATAGAGGCCAGTCTAGGTAATGGCCAGTTTCGCGTCTGTAGTTCTAAGTACAGAAGTAAATTTGAATGCATTTCAAGTTTACTTCATTCAAATTCTTCATTTGCCTTTGACCAATCCACCTACAAATTAACTTTGAAAAGACCCACTGATTTAGGATGTTGTCTGTCTGACCACTTTTTCAAGTAAAGCCTTTATTTAAGGTTGCCACAAGTTAGGAAAAGAAGTTTTGAGTCTGGGTATTAAGATATGGAAGGGTAACTTCAATGCACATATGTTTTGTTTGCCTTAAGTGGTTTCTCATCCGCCATGTTCCAGATGACAGTTGGCAGATAGAAGGCAGTCTGGGTGGTCTCCACTTGACCGATGTCACACCAGAAGGCAGTCTCTACCAGCAGGTATTCAGTGTTGGGGAAAGCCAGCTAGACCAATCAGAAGGACTCATTTCTCCCCGAACCATTCCGTCTGCTATGTACCAAACTGCTCGAGATGAAACTGTGTTCACTGATGCTGTTCATGCTAAGGGTAGCTCAAAGAAGGCCCTTTCTTTCAACGTGAAGAAAACATTGCTTGAAGGAGCCGGGATGGAACATTTGGGCATTCTTTCCCAGAATCGGATGAAATTTACGCTGACTTTACCATGGCATCTGTATATTATACACATTAAGCCACAGTTCCTCAATGAGCTGATGGACTGTATGTCAGAATTCAAGGACTACATGTCTGACTTGCCTCCTCTATAGGCAAGGCTGCAACAGAAGTAGCTATGGGTCTGGTCGGAGGTCGAGTTGACCGCGAAGGACATGACCTCAGCACCAGCACTTTCAACAGAGATGTGTCTCTGGGGGATTTAACAGACACTGTATTGTTAGACAACACGTTTGGATCTGTTACTGATCTGTCCAGTCAGAGAGATTCTTGTATGAAGTTTACAGCTCGAATGGAAACTCCAATCATAGCCCTTCCACGAACCCCTACAAGTTACCAGGTCCTTCTAGCTCACCTCGGTGAGATAACCGTGTCCAACTCTAGTCTCACCGAGTCCAGCACAGCATCAACGCTACATGACTCTATGGACCACAGTGAAGAGGTACATATATCTTTGAGGAACATGAATCTGTATTCTCTTGATCTGGAGAAGTACAATACTCAAGTAGGGCAGAGCATATCGGCAACGCTAATGGGAAAGTCCTACTACAGTCTATCGTACGAACTTGGTGTGCCCATTTTGTATGACACAGCAGTTGATTTAGTGATTGCCAAAGAAACAACTGAAGTGCCAATAATCAACCCTGAGGTTACAAACAATGACTTCCCACCTAGGACTCCTAAAAAATCTGTGCAGCCAGCTCAGATAAGCAATGTGTTAAATGTAAGTGCCAAAATCTCTCCGGCGGTGAAGTTGGTGTTGTCAAAGGAGGTGTACGAGCAGATACTGCAGACTCTGGACAACCTGACGTACAGCGAGGACGACTATGCTCCTGATGCATCTGATGATTCCACATACTCTGGAAGACCTGCTGCTGGTGCTGCTGCTTGTGAAGGACAATCTGAATCTCATGCAAACTTGGCTATGCAAGAGTCATCTTTACAGGAGGGATTTCTTGCAAAACATTTCCATTTTGAAGTCCCTCTGTTTGAAGTTGAACTTAAGGGGAATTTCGGGGAGGGGGAGCAAGGATTAGTTGATCTCAAGCTGACTGACTTTTCTATGAATTATGCCAAAGATAATAAAGTTGTGACAGAAATGCAGCTCCGACTGAGATCCCTGTCAATGGATGATTTGTTAGAATCCGAGAAATCAGCTCATAGACAAATCATGGTTTCTCGCAGCTCCCATAAAGAACCTGATGTGGAGGATGCCAAACCAAAAACATTCCTGTCGACATCTTGTCCTGATAGTACTATCATTGCCCCAGTGCCCCTCATGCCAGCATCTCTGCCATCCAGTTTCCACGAGAAGATCCCAAAACCCACATCACAGAAACAAGCCACAGCATTCTATGTTGACTTCATCCAGAAACAGAGAACGAGGGGGAAGGACAGGTCGGTTAACTGCAATTTTACCATTATTTCATTATAGGTGTGTATTCAGTCTAAGTAAACTTAGGCTCAGTATTATTCGTTACACTGCTATACTGAGTCTAACAAAACCTTGTGGAAGGTCGCGTCAGATAACCTTTTCAATTGACCAATCAGAACACAGCTTACCAAATCGCGAAAGTTGACATTCGCACATACCTTTTGAACGCCACAACAGTGAGTAAACAGTTGCTGAAAATAGCGTTTTGTCAGTATTCAAGCATGTCAGCTTGCTGAAATATTAGCTAATGATAGCCATGTCAACAGAAACCCCAAAGCATATATACTGCAGGGCAAATATTAGTTTCTCGTACAGACCCTGAAGCAAATATATCCAAGAAAGCCCACACAAGTCTACAAAATGTGGCAAGTCTAGATTTCCTCAGCTTCAGCTTCTGAAAATGAAGAAAGTCTCAGGGCTCCTTTTCATTATATAATTTTTTTTTACTATGAACTTTTTTCAGTATAATATGTTCATTTCAGAGACTAGTTGTTAGTCTAGGCAAATATCTGTGTTTTATGCAATTTTCATTTGTTGGGAGATCAGTGTTGGCGAACAGGGAAGAGAAAATCCATTTTTTAAGTCCCGCCGAACCCTAAATAGTAGCTGTTGTCTGATTGGTTAAATCCGTTCGTCCGTCTCGCGTTTGATTGGACAGTCATAGGTCGCTCAAAGGTTACCGGACGCAACCTTCCACAAGGTTTTGTTAGACTCAGTATAGCAGTGTCACGAATAATACTGAGTCTAAGTTTACTTAGACTGGGTGTGTATTTTGTTGTCACAAAACAATAGTGTCACACTGGTCAAGCAGAATTTTCAAAACTGAGAATCTGGTGAAAAAAAAGGTTCTCGACAGTTTGGTTATTTTTTCTTGTTCGAGTATATTTATAGCGGCAAATCGCTCTACTTTTTGTGTAAGTGTAGACTCTTCAAAAATGTGCATTTTCAATGCCAACTCCATTACCCTGCTATTTCACATACATGAGCAAAGTGGATGAAGCGCACATACAAGGAGTTTGAAATCTGTGTATCGGGTTGACTGTAGCTAAGTGGGACTGGGTTGCCAGGCGGCCAGTGTGTTCTGTATGAGAGCCATGAGTAAGTCAAGCTTCTGTTTACCTCAATATGAGTTTGGCAGCATAACTGTCACAATGTTGTATGCCAGCATACCTTGTCACATGGGAAGCAGGTGTTTGTTGGAGGTTTTACAGCCCACTTCCTCTTCTCTGATAACTGCGGATCATCATACAGTCTTAATATCTACATACCAATATCTTGTATTATCTGATTACTTCTCATCTACAGTACTTTGTGGTTTTGTGACTGAAATTGAGTTTATATGGATTCCAGTTTGAAAATCAGAACAGAACAGTCTTTTTAGAGCCAAGTGAAACATGGTGGTAATGACAGTTAGCAGACAAATATATGTGTAGAGTTTAAAAATTCTTAAGAAATAAATATGATTATGAAGCGGGACACAGAGGGACTATATTTGTTGAACATACAGATATGATAACCCACTGTTTCAGGGAGATGTTCCCCCAGACCCCGCCTCCGTCCCCCACCCTCAATGACATCCTCAACCCCGAGGAACTGCCAATAGAGGATCTTGTCCACATTGATGTGGTGCTCGTTGACAAGAAGTCCCCAGACTATACAACAAAATATGACAAGGTATACGTGCATGATATGCAGGATTTCAGTTCTCAAATTTTCAAGTATTTTCATTCAACTGCCAAAGATGAATTCACTTTGCAGAGTTGTGTCCCTTGGGTGTATCTGATAGTTATTAGTTGTAGTTTCGAATCCTATTCCATTACCTGCATAACATTGGGCTTTTGTCCCACATCAAGCTGACTCACCGTGATATAACTGAAATAGTTACTCACATGGTCAAAATTACAGCAGTTGTTTGGCTCATTTCACAAAAAAATAATTATGCAAATAATGTGGGTTCCTGTCATACCTCTTCCCCTTGGCTGATGTTTGTATATTGATGTTCTTTGCTGTTGCCTCATGCTAAATACAGGGGAAGGGGAAACCAGTTGTAGTGTTCATTTGTCAAAGACCCACGCTTGATTTCCACAGGTACTGTGTCAAGAAATTAATCATGAATGTAGCAGCATAATACCCTACTCATCTGTGAAGCATGGAATATTTCAGATCAGACCTTCCCTATTTCATAACTCTTTTAATGACTTGACAATTATTTCCTGGACCAGACAAACCGCTTCATTGATGTCAACTTCAGCTGCCTGGAGATGACTTTCAACCTGCAGACATGGGTGGTCCTCCTCGACTTCCTGGGGATGGGGGCCAAGGTCCATGACACCGAGTCCGACACTTCCTTCCTTGACCCCACATCAGAAGGGGACAGCACCCTCAACACACCTGAGACAGGTAATCTCTAGCAGAATCCGAGACTCTAAAGGTCTAAGAGATTTGAGACATTAAAAATGTAATTTAAAAAAATTTGATGTCTTCTAACTTGATATTTTATAAATATGATGTTGAGGAGAGGTATTATGACATGACTGAACTAAATATCCCTTCCAAAAATGAATTTGTTGCATGCACCCACACATGCACGCATGCATGCACACACAAGCATACATATACACTCACACATGCGCACACATACACGTTTAGTTATTAGCAAGTACATTATCATCACAATTACTGTGAAAAAGTGCAAAATGGCATAAATCCTGCCTCAAATCTTTCCTCACCCTCATATCTTCCCTTTCCAGAGGAGGTGGTTAATCAGGAGATCAACTTCGCCGTGGAGAGCTTCACCCTGATCCTCAACAAACCGGAGTATGAGCTGGCGCAAGTGTCCATGACCAACCTCCACTCCCACATCAGCAAGCGGGACTTCAACATGTCTTGTCGGGGTCAGCTGGGTAGCCTGTCTCTCTCTGACCACTCACCCCATGGGGAGCTCTACCAGCAGAGGTTCATCACCCTGGGCAGACAGGCGCTGGAGTTTGATTTCTTCAAGTATGTAGCTTCTTTGATACCTGTCGTAGTCTTTCACATAGTTATCATTGTAGTCTGCTTGTGTTTAGATGACTTTTCCTAAAACAATGTCGCTAGTCAGCTGTTTTGTTGACAGCCAGGCCATGGAAGATTTAGATACCACCATGACCTGTGCTATTTCTATTGATCTCGGGGGTCCAATCTACAACTAGCATGTGTAAAAACAGGAACAGTAGCATGATAAACTGTAGTGTAGCAATATTTGTAAATCTGCTAATCCTTTGTGGGTGGGAGACCAAGAGTTACATTGACATGTGCAGATTCTTTTTCAGAAGACGTCCTCCTTGGGGTACATATAAGCATGAAAATGTCCATTTTAAAAACCTATGACAGTTGTAACAATATTTTAATAATATACATTTACAAAGCAAAAAATTCGTTTTTGTCTTGTGAGACCACCCCTACAGGGCCCCCCCCCCCCGAGCTCCCTACAGCCAAGAGCAGGTAACTCTCGCTGTCTACCTCGTACCTCACTTTTCATGCTGTCGTTTCTCAGGAAGGACGTGTGTGTGTTCATTCTCAGGAATCTTTCCCTGTCCCTAGGAAGATGAGTGATAAGAATCAAATACTGTATGTATGGTTCCTTTATTTACGCACGGGCGTTAGATGGAATTCATATCTTGGTATTTTCATTCATGAACTGTTGTAACTTTGCTGGTGGGTCGTCTGTTTTCCTGCCAGGTAAGATGGCGGACCACATGCTTTCCTCTCCCTTCCTTTCTTATTGTTAGCGCTAGGCTTACTCTATGGTTGGGAGTTTCTATATAATTTTTTTCATATTATATAGTAGACTTGCCATAATATTCTCGTTTTCAGCGAAATTACGGTAGGTCATCATTGAGTGAGATCGTAATCGTGGTCGTTTCTTATCACCTTTGTTTTGCTCATTCTCTATACAGTACGCAGGCTATATAGCGTAGCACTTATTCTGCTTTACATGTTAGCGTGTTAGTTGATTAAATTGCTTTGGCTATTAGCATTTAATATTGCCCGTGCGCTGTATTTCTTGCTGTTTGCTTGTGTATATATGCATACCCCGTCAACAGCTACCTGCTAGTAAAATGGCATGGTTCTGTTTGTTGCTGCTCCAACACTGCGTTATTGCCACCTGGTGTGTTTGAGTTGTCTTGCGGAGGAAGTGCATGACGATCAGGGGTGCGCTATCCATCTCGCTTTTACACCAAAGGCTCAAATAAGCGGGCATACATATTGGAGACCAACTTGCTGCAGGTGTAGATTGAAGCCCGTCTAAGAAATCTTCCTAATATAAGAGTTTTTCTTTTTCCACCTGTGCCTTCAAAGAGGCAGGGAGTTAGCGGGCTAGAGTGGTTGAGTCTACTCCAATCTCAGCCTCCCCTGCACCTCCATCTGTCAATGTCAATGCACCTGTATTAACCTTATATACTTTGTTGCTTTGTTGTAGCAACAGATGTCGTCTGTGAAATCCTTGATAGCCAGTGCGATGTCTGGGCTCCACCAGGAGCTCAGCAACCTGCCTGTCATCAGGGTTGGATTGGATACATCTGTGGGGTTGGATCGCGCCCTAACCGACAGGAGCCTAGGCTTTCGAGGTCTGGGGGATGAGAGCCTGGCCTCTGGTTCCTCCTCGGGCACTCTGATCCGAGCCGGCTCGCGGTGATGTGTTGTCTGGGGAACCTCGTGGCGTGCCAGGCCTCTGGTTCAGTGGAGTCGGCACAGGTTCGTCTCACACCGCAGTGGCATGATGCTATCAGGTTCATGTGTTAGCCAGATAATGAGTGCCAACTCTGACTGCCTCTTGCTTAGTTTTCGCTGGTTACGCAACAGGCACTTATGTCACTGCACTACCGGATGGGTTCTACCCTGTTGTTTCCAGGGCATTGACAGCTGTACGGGAGGTCGCAGAGGCAGTAGGCACCCTCAAGGATTCGACGCCCTTGTTGGAGCAATCCTCCAATTCTCGAGCTGTCCCGCAGGGGACCAAGCGCAAACAGTCCACACACTGCTTACCGTTGGGATCCACTGCCTTCTGCCCAGCGTCCCTGTCCCTGTCCTAGGGGAGTGGGAGAAAGTCACAGCAAATCCCTGGGTTCTGTTAAACTCTGTGCCGAATTCCAGTCATTGCTGGACGAGGCAACCATTCAGGTGTTCCTATTGGGCAGGAAAATGCGGGGTTTTACTCCACCTATTTCCTGGGTACCAAGAAGAATGGAGTTCAAACCTATACTAATCTTAGGGCTGAACGACATGATAGAGGTTTCGTCTTTCAAGATGGAGACACTAAGATCAGTGATCTCATCTGTAGAGGCTCAATCGACCTCAAGAACGTGTACCTTTATAACCCGATGCTCCCCGAGTTCAGGAAATACCTCAGGTTTTTTCCTTCGACGGGAAGTGTTATCAGGTTTGTGTGCTCCCCTTCCGCATCACCAAGGGCGTTCACCTAACTCATGCTATCATAACACGAGGTCGCGGGGCTGGGGCAAGTGTTGTCACTGTATCTAGGCGACTGGCTACTCCAGCGCTTGCCATGCAATCCTTTCGTGATGAGTGTTCTCACCAAAGCGGAATGGATTGGGTTATCAATCTCAAGAAATCAGAACTGGTGTCTACACAGATTGGTTTTCTGGGGAGAGGGTCGGGACACCGCGTAGCGTGGTATCCCCATCTCCAAACCGCTTTTCAAGGGTTCAGAAGGGTTGCTTTGCAATCTCTAGATTTCACCGTGGCTTCGACACGGACATGGCTCCAGTTGCTAGGCAACATGGTGACAGTAGTCATTATCTGGCGTGCGCGTCCGAGGATGCGGCTTTACAGCGGGCATTAGCACAGCTGTGGTCTCACTCAGAGAGTTGCAAGACCATTTTCCACATTCAGAGTGGTTGGTTCCTCACTTGAAGTGGACAAACGCCGGGAATCTACCCAGGGGTTCCTGGGAGACCCGGCATCATCGATCATGAGTCAAACAGATGCCTCCCTCACAAGCTAAAATGTAACACATGTTCAATTGTTCTACTGTTATGGCAGTGGAGCGGCTGGCATTCGGTGAACAAACAGAAGCCATTTCAAGGTGTGTCTTGTCTCTGGGCTATATTCCCCATGGGTTTTAATTACTCCAGATGGGTTGTAAACTCATTACGGTAAGGGCAGTGACCACACCAAAGTCATATGGTGACGCACAGCAGTGTGAAGATCTTCTCCAGAGGCTATTTAGAGCCATCGGCGTGTTCATCCGTTACCCGATTAAGCGGAACAAACACTCCCGCGTCGTGTACGGTTTTTGCCACACTGTTCTCCACACAGTGGGTAGGAGTTGTAACTCTTTAGCCCGTTTGAGCTCTGAGATTACATCATTCTGCACTTCCTGGTATTGGGTTATGTCATTCTTCCTTTTTATGGGTTATGGTATATTGGTGGAGATATTTTCCAGCGCTTCAAATTGGCTTTTCTTGACGTTGGCATTAAACTTCACTCCTAATTACCATCCCACCTTGCTTGGCTGGCTGGGTGTATGTTACTACTGAATTGTTTGTTAGAGTCCCCCATACTCTTCCACCCTAGCTTCACTGGCTGGGTGTGTGTTACTTCATCCCACCACGCTTCACTGGCTGGGTGTGTGTTACTTCCATCCCACCTCGCTTCACTGGCTGGGTGTATGTTAGTTCCATTCCACGGCTGGGTATGTTACTGGGAATTGTTGTGGGAATTACTTCACTGGCTGGGGGTGTATGTTACTTGGAATTGTTGTAGAGTCCACATGCCTCTTCCAAATTGTTGGTTGGAGGTGGGGTGGATTGATCGGCTTCTAAGCCAATCAGGCGTATGAGCTTGGCATAATATACTCCCTGCCTAAACCATGCCCCAACCTGATTGACATCGGCAGTCGGGTGACTGGGTAGGTGTGTTTTGCTATCTCAATTGGTGGTAGATTCCATTGGAGAATGGGTTTAGTTTTGTCAGACAGAATGCCACTCCCGACTCACTATCTATGGGACTCTGTCTTATGCTTATATGTACCCCAAAGGAGGACTTCTTCTGAAAAGAATTGTACACAAACCTGTAGGGTTTCTGATTCTTTGAAAGAGTCCTCTCCATGAGAACCTCGACCACCACCTCCCCACATTCTGTCTGATCGCGTTCAGCTTGAAAAGTGAAGTCTGAGGTAGGCGGTGAGAGTTACCTGCTCTTGGCTGTAGGGGGGCCCTGGGGGCCCTGTAGGGAGATGGTCTCACAAGACAAAAGCAAGTTTTTTGTTTTGTAAATATTTATTATTAAATATTGTTACAACTGTACTTGAGGTTTTAAAATGGACATTTTATGTATATATGTACTCAAGGAGGACTTTCTTCAAGAATCAGAAACCTCTACAGGTTTTATGCAGTTTTATGCACATATATCTTGAATTGATAAGATATATAATTAACTGGGCCCCATTTCCTACAAAGCTCTCCTTAGCGTTCGCGACTATCGTGAAGTCAATGTTGTGCAGTATAGGAAGTAGGGAATGTTACAAGAAAAGTTCACAGAGCTTTGTAAAAATTGGACCCAGATAACAATTTAATGTTTATGACAAATATCATCATTAAAAAGAGTTGTTATTAGACAAATATGGCATATGTGAAGCATTGTTGCTAACCTAAGGAATGGCATCTAGTTTTAGGACATCTGTCTGAAAATCTTTGTCATTAGGCTTATGACAAGGACCTGTGGTATTTCTGAACACTGTGTAGGTATGGTTTCCTGGCGACCAGCTGCAGAGGGAGTATGACATCTACCTAAAAGCTGCGGATGTCATCACTCGCGCTACATCCCACACCAACGCTTCCACTTTCGAGGAGGTCCTGGCTTTCTGTCAGCACTTCCTACAGTTGCAGGGCGTCCTGGGCAGGATGATGAGAGCTACTTCTGGCTGGACAAAAGGTAACTCACAGACACATCTGCTATTTGAGGACAAGAATTTGCAGACCAAAGCTGTTGATTTAATATTGCATTTACAAACATAAAGAGATGTTGGTGGTGACAGTGTGTACATGGTTTTAAAGCAGCAGACTTTGTGCCATTGCACCTTCAAGACTGATGAATGCTCATACTTTCTGCCACTGGTTGCTAGTTCCAGCACATCATTTACATCCTGCCTTGATATGGCTGTGATATGGCTGTAATGTGCAGACTGAAACAACTCTCACTCACTCACTCACTCACTCACTCCTCCTCCTCCTCCTCACTCACTCACTCTCACCCACCCACTCACTCACTCTCCTCCCTCCACCCACCCACTCACTCACTCCCACTCCACTCACCCACTCACTCCACTCACTCCTCCTCCTCCTCCTCCTCCTCCTCCGCTCCTCCTCACCCACCCACTCACTCACTCCTCACTCACTCACTCACTCACTCCTCACTCCTCCATTTAATTAACTGTGATAATAACATTATTCTGTCTCCTCAGATAAGTGAATCAGCTTCGAGGATCCATTAATCAAGCTGGACATCGAAGCAGGCTCCCCATTCTGCTCATACCACACAGCTCAAAACTGGCGACATTCTTGTTGCCGATCTCGGGAACACTCAGAGTTGTCAACAGGTTTCTCATCGATGGTAGTGAAGGAACAAACAGATTTGACAAGAAGGGGTAAACAGGAACCTGCAAAATCCAAAGTGACACAGATGCTCGAGACAAGCGGAAGGCTTCCAGGAAGGGAGTAGTTCAGCTGGCAATGGCCAGGACAGCATGTTCAGTGAGTACCCGTCCTCCACAGTGGAGCAAGTGACCTCATGTCCCCAAAGCATCTATGGCAGCCTGGACTCACGACTAGCCTGTGAGGGAACACGAGCCCGGCCACACTGGATGAGAGAGTGTACATGGTGCATAATGTGGCTGACATCAAGTCCCAGGAGAAGGAAGTGTCCAGTGTTGACCCTATTGTGGCAGGGGTACAGGCAGCTGCCAGCATCAAGAGGCCGTTCAGTGACACCCAGCTCAACCTGGCCCAGAAGAAGAAACGGTGGCAGCTCCCCAAGTCCCAGAGACACATATGTGTATGCTGGATGTGTGGTCCCTCAGTCTGAAGGATATGGACCTCTTTACAGCCAAAGCCCGAGGTCAGCAAGAGGAACTATAGAGGCAACAACCTGGTCAGGGACATGGAGTTCTCAACTTATTGTGGTTCAGATGGAGGTAGAGCATAAATCTTTAGTGTTGACTGGGACTCATTGGAAGTGGAAATTTTTGTCTCAGAAATTTGGTTGTTCCCCGGTTCTCTGTTGGCATTGTGTTCTCTATGAAAAAAACATAAAAAACGTTGGTGTTTTCACTTATATTAGCCATACTTATGTATTTATCATGTGCATGCTGGAGAACAAGCTAATTGTCAGCTGTTTGAACATCTCATATTTCTCATGCAAGTATATCAAAACTATTCTATACTTCCAACACTTCAATACTTCAAACTCAACACTTGCAACAATGTCTTTTGGGCCAAAAAGTGGCAGTTATTCTTTCTTGTACTTTCAAGAAATGTGAAGATATTACTTTCTGTAGCTACCTACAGCTGTCATTGTATGATGTCTAATAAATAAGTGTGGTGCCTCTGATCTACCCTTCAATGAAATAACCCAGTTACTATAAGGAAGATCTCTTTGAACATGTTGAACAGAGATAAATACAGAAGTGCTGATACCCTGATACCCTTATTATGCTCCTGAAGCTGAAGTCTGGAATCTAGATTTTTTGTTATTTATTTAGTGTAGCATGCATACCGTGTACAGCACTCCTACCAAGTAGCAGTGACTGTTAGGTTTTTGTAAGTTTTAGCATTTGTGTTTTCCTCTTAAAGCTTTAAGGTGTTTACAGTGTAATATATTTCTAAATTCCTTGGAATAACAGCCAGGGAATATTCTGCGTGAGAAGTGTCAGTTGGACCTGCACGTGGAGAGGAACCTGGAGTGTGACATCAGCCATAGAGCCCCGGACTGGCAGGTCAGCGGCAAACTGTCCTCCATCTACTGTCACCTTGACCTTGCCCAGTACAAGCTGGTCCGAGGGATCCTGGGGCACAACTTGGGGGAGAAGGTGGAACAGTTACGCACTCCCATGATGACTCACCTGCAGGACCACAAAATACAGGTAGGAGTCCCCCACTTTCCACAGCTCAGCCACAAGAAACCCCTGTCATTAAGTATAGCTGACACATGCTTGTTCTGATATATCCTTACAATGATGCCAGCATGCCTTCAGTGGGTCTGTTACATACCACCTGTGGTAACGGTTTGTTTTTTACATAATATCAATATGTAATAGTATAGTAGAGTCATTCTCAAAATTCGTGCATATTTCATGTAGGGAAAAATTGTAAATTTTGTTTCCTTGTTTTACCTTGAAATGTTGTTGATTACATTCATAGTATTCTGAATATACAAAACATAAATTTTGCAAGATTAACAAATTTCATTTTTCATGTTTTACCCTTTTTATTAGGAAAATCACGAAATTGCATCACTTCCGTTACGAAATTTGTAGCGTCATTTTGAAAAGAAACAAATCAAAGATGATATTCCTTTAATGTACATATATATATTAAACATCTAGTTTTACAACATAACATGGCTAATGAGTTTTGAAATTTTATATTTATTGCTTAAAGGGGCCAACCAGCCAAACAATCCTCATGAGTCAGGATCATTATAAAATATCACTTTTAGTCAGAAAATTACATTTTTCTGATATGCAAATATAAAGTAATATGTAGCCAAAATTCAAAATAAAAATGATGAATTATATTATGCTTACTTGAGCTCTACTACCAAAATACTTGCTCTACAAATTCCAACATTTACAGATAAATCAATTTTAATTAAATAAGGAAAATGATTATGTTATGGCATGGACCTTGGCATTAATTGTTCACGGTAGTGACACAATAGCAGTAGTGACATTTTTATTAATAGCCAGTTTTGTATGTTTACTTTGAAAGAAATTTGATTAAATTTGTCAGTCAGATAATTCAGAATGTTTGAAGAATATGCAATAGGCAAAAGATTTACTGATGGATATCCCTGTCATGTAAAAAACAGGTAAAAGACTGCATGTTCACTGCAGTGACATTGTGGCGATATATAATGTCACTGCCGTACTTGACCCCTATCACAGCTGTGTTCTTCTTTGTCACAGGCGTTACACTACCCTGCCCTTACCGTAACAGCAATTTCATACTTATATGCTTATTGATTTTATTCATTTGATACAAAAGTTTTATGTTAAATAAGATTCAAAAAAACATTTGATATCTTTGAATTGAAAATTTAGATACAAACAACATTAAATTAGAAAAATGTCACTGCCGTCACAAAATCTGTCCTTCCCGTAACAAAACCCATGATAGCGGCAGTGACGTAGTGACAGCCTCTAACAATATCAGTTTTAAAACAATAACTGGTCCCCAAAGTTTACTCAGCACATGGTTTCAGATGATTTCCCTACTGTCTAAGGTACTTGGCATTGTTTGGCTTCACAAATTTAACTGGTTTCAGCGGTAGCCACCGAAACGGTTAGGACATGCAAAAATCTCAGATATCATTTTGAACACACATTTTTTGTGATAAAATTCAGAAAAAATGAATTTTTTGTGTCAGTGTTTGACAGCCATATTTCCTCACTGCCATTGATTGCAAATATGAAGTAGAATTAGAAGACAATGCAGGGAGTCATCGTTATTGCAATTTTTGGATGATGTTACGGTAGTGACAACAAACCTTGTGACAAAGTTTGACATTTTGCACAAAATGTTTTTTCATACAAAAAAAGGCCAAACCATGCCAAGCATGTAGCTGTAACATCATTAATTATGATATGTTAAATAATTCCTTTTGAAAAACACCAAAAACACCCAAAAAATCAAATTACACATTGGCCACTGGGTTTGTGACACATGAAAATTGAGTAAAATTTAACCAAACCTGAAGGAGTTTTAAATTCTTCGAAGAGAGAGTCATCCTTGGGGTACATATTATGCATTTTCAAGCTGAAAATGTCCTGTGACAGTTGTATCAATGTTTTTGAATAAAAGATTGTACAATAAATAAACTCTTTTATTTATTATCGGCCCTACCTCGCGGAGTTACCTCCCGTTAGCATCTTTCAACTGGAGTAAGCACCTAGGCCCATTATCATCATTCCTTCTGCTGAATACATCAGTGAACAAATTGCGAGGGGCCGGGAGGCCCTACCCAAGGGCGACTCTCTTCGAAGAATTTAAAACCTCTTCAGGTTTGGTTAATTCTTCTTCATAGAGATCGTCCTTGGGGTACATATTATGCATAAACACAGACTCCCAAAGACCGGAGGCCAGGGAGGAGGGAATTCTGTCAAGCACACACAAATAGCTATAGTTAATGGGAAAAAATTGAACAGGCGCCATAACACTCACCTGTCACATGTCCCAGTTTGGCTTCATGAGAGGCATTATGGGAGGAACTGACAGGGAGGATTTGTGCTCAAAGGCGACCTCCATATGTTAGCATAGGCAATGCGCACATAATGCGAATGTCAACAAAGCCCCACCCACCGCGTAATCGATTAGTGAGCACCGTGGGGAATGTCAAAACTCGCTCTGTCGACTAATAACTCCTGAGAGAGAATCGAAAGGGGTAGTTAGCTCTCAGTAGCGGATATGTCAATAACACACATTATTGTACAGCAGCGTCAATAAACAAACCAATAAACCCAAGACTCACTTTCGGTCAGGGTGGCAGGACAATGTCCACTGGAGAGAACAGAGCGGCAAAGCTTCGCCGCGATTGCGGGGAATGTGTATCGAGCTGATAGTGCCCGTATAAGCGTGCTTTGGCGGCTCAAATGGCGGCAGAGCAGATCTCTTCAATGGGGAGTGCCGATGCAAAAAGCTTTGATGCGGCTACTGCCCTGACCGAGTGAGCCTTCAACCCCTCAGGGGGAGGCATGCCCTTAGCCTGATAAGCGGCACAAATACGAAACAAGCCAGCGAGACAAAGTCTGCTTGCTTTCGCCTGGCACACCAACCTTCGCCACCGTAACAACAGAACAGCTGGGCACCCATCACGGAGTTCCCTGCGTTAGTTTGATATAGACTTTGAGTGTCTTACCGACATCAAGCGGGTGAGTGCTTGGCGTAGGAGAGGTCCCGATGTGGAAGGCTGGGTAAGAGTGGGAAGTTCGATAGGAGCTGTCACATGGAAGCGTGATCGACCGGGGTGATGCAGTATCCGGGGAGGCGAATACTGACGATCAGTGTGAAACACAGTCAGCGCCGAGGTGGACGACATAGCATGTAAATTGCCGACCCTACGTCCAGATGTTACCGCCACCAGAAAAACAGCCTTCCAAGTTAACAACTGAATGGAAATAGCCGATAGGTGTGAAAAGTTGGACCAGACAGCCAATCTAGCACAATTGACAAATCCCAAGGTGGACTGAGTGCAGCCTGAGAGCAGGTCGAACCCGTTCAGCTAGCGGCGCTATGCGAGAGGTGCTGCCCCAGAAGAGCACCATCGACAGGGGTGTGAAAAGTGGAAATAGCGGTTGAGTAGCCCGCGAATGGTGAAAACGCCAGGCATTCTTCCAAGCGAGCTTGCAAAACTCCAATACCGGACTAAATCCGCCCTGAAAGGGATCTGCAATCCCCTATCTGAACACCAGCGCATAAGCGGGACCACCTATCCTCATACTGAGCGTTTGTCGAATCCGCCTCGAAGCCAGAATTGTGTCTGCAACTGCTGCAGGAATTCCGGCGTGCCTCGAGGCTAGACCTGACAGAGGCCAAAGCCACCCACTGAATCCGTGGATTTGGGTGGGAAGCTCCGTTCTGAGTGAGAATGTCCGGTCGTAAAAGGTAATAGAACAGGAGGCTGAGCCAGAAACCTGAAATTACGAACCAGCTCTGTGATGGCCAAAGCGGTGCCAGTAGCACAAGCAGCCCGAGCTGGCTGGGTGGACAGCTGTGAAAGGACCACGGGGAATGAGTGGTAGCGGCGAGGAGCATGAGAGCACTTTGCCCGTCAATCCAGCAGGAAGGCGTCGGCAGCCAGCAGCCCTGGGTCCGGTATTCGAGAGCAGAACGGGTGTCTGATTACCGTCCCGCCCGGGCGCAAACAGATCCACCTGGAGCGACCCGTACAACTGGGAGAGAACTCTGAATATCTGCCTGTCGAGCATCCACTTTCGTGCGGGGCCAGGATCCGGCAAAGAAGCGCGTCTGCTGCGCCGCGTTCTCCAGCCCGGAGATAAACAGGGAGTACCTGACAATGCATTGAGTCGCACCAGGTAGAAAGTCCACGCCTCCTGAAGCTTTCGGGACACCCGTGCCACCCTGCTTCAGGATGTATGCGATATGGCCGTCTGGTGGTCCAACTGAAGGCGGACTACCTGGCCCGCGGACATGCTCTCTGGCCTTCGAAAACCAACCGCACAGCTCTCAGTTCCAACAACGTTGATGTGAAGGTGGGCGACTTCGGACCAGAGTCGGACACCGACAGACTGCCCAGAACACCCCAGCCCGTGAGGGGCGCCGGTCTGAACTGTGAGAGCTGGCGTCGGGAGTTTCAAAGGGGATCCCCTGGTGAGATTCCGACATTGGTCCACCACTGAAGGTGAGGTGTCAACCACCCGGGGACTGTGAGACTGCGCTCCAGGTCCTCCGTGTGAGCCCACAGCCTTGCCAAAGCTTGCTGTATAGAGCATCCTCAGCAGCGCCCGCCACACGACAGAGATGCGTCGCCCGCCATATGGCCCAGTAGGCGGAGCCAAGTCCGTGCTGGTGCCTGGGGCTGGGAGGAGAGCGAAGATACCACCTCGAACTCTGGTGATCGGTCGGGCGACAAGGAAAGCGAGATCCTTGTTTGTTTGGGTCGGCCCCAAAGAAAAACCAAGTCCTGGGTGGGTACCAGGTCGGTTCTTGAGGTTGATGATCCACCCCAGTCGAATTAGAATGTCTATCACTGTGTGAGTAGCATCTAGACTTCGCTGGCTGTGTTAGTGCTCGAGCAACCAGTCGTCGAGGTAAAGGGTAACAGCGCCTTCCTTCCGCGGCGGCGAGGTAGCGGGACTAACATGAGCTTGGTGAACACCCTTGGGGCAGTCGATATGCGAAGGGAGCACCCTGAATTAGTAACACATCCGTCGTAAAGAGAACCGGAAGGTACTGCTTGAGCGATGGATGTATGGGCACATGCGAATCACGCATCCTTTAGGTCGATTGGCGTGAGCCAATCGCCCGGGCTGAACACATGAGATCACCGGCGCAGTGTCTCCATCTTGAAGGATGGTACTTCTAGCATCGCGGTTCAACCCCTTGAGGTTGAGAATGGGGCCGGAACCCGCCCGTCTTTCTTCCGGGGCGAGGAAGTGCGTGGAGTAAAATCCGCCTGTTCCTCTCCCGGTGGAATGCTTCGATTGCGGACTTGTCCAGCAGAGCCTGAACCCGTCAGCGCAATATGTCCGCCCTTGCCTGACATGGCGGCACGAGTCGCGGTGTATGCGGTGAAGTCAGGCGGACCACCGGCTTCCACAGTGGTAAATGGCCTACACTGATGGTGGACAGCACCCAAAGTGTTTTGTGTAGCCTTCTCCCATTCCGGCGGGAATAGAGAAGGCTGACCTCCCACTGGGGCGTCGGGTAAGAAGCTGGCGTCGCGTCGTCAGTAAGCGGAACTGACTGGAAGTGACACCGCGGCGAGCGACAACCTGATGGGTTAGCGGAGAGTGGGGCAGACCTCCAGCGCAGCCAAAAGGCTGGGAGCTAGTCGAGGACTGCTCCTTGCCCCTTACCCTTGGCGGACCTGTGCCTCCGCTTACCTGCCAAGCGGCGAAGCCAGCCAGCGGACTGGGGTGTAGGCTGCACCCCAGCGGAGGAAGGTGGAGCGGGGGAGCGAAGGCGAGACACCCGGGTGCTCCAACAAGGCCTTACAGTCGCTTGAAGGAGGTAGCTGCAGCGGCAGCCTCCCATTATGACCTGCTGTGCCCTGGAAAGAGTGCGGCTCCCCAGGCGGAAGGGAGGGCCAGCAAGGTCTGCTGTGTAAGCTGCCCGAGTAGCGAGGCGTCGACAGCCACAGCTAGCGCATCCCCATGACTCGCGCACATCACCGTCGGCCTTAGCCGGACCGCAAAGTCGCTAGCGAGGTGGGCCTGTACTTCAGATAGCTGCGGAGGAGCCGCGACATCGCGAAGCGTCACCAGCATGCCCCTCCGCCTCCAGGGCCGACCTCTGAATCGAGGAGAGGTAGGCCTCATGGACCACCACCCTGACCTGCTGCATAGCGTTCCTGTAAACCTCCTGCGTAGATGCAATGCATGCGCAGAGAGCCTGCAAGAAGCAAGCGGTGGAATGGCTGCAGCCCTTGCCGAGCAGCGCGGAGCCTCCCCAAAGTAAAACACACTCGTCCACGATAGGTACCACGAACAGGGAATCCTCCCATAGCTGGTATCTCCTGACAAGCTCCGGCAAGTCAAATCGGAGGCGAGAACCAGACAAGAGGGGATCCACCACGTCCTGGCAGGATGCAGAATACGGAGCTGCGTCTGCGTAGGCTGCCTAGGGGCAAACGCCTCGCCTGGCAAGCGGAACTCAGCCGAGTCCGAGCTGCTAACAGGCACCGCGGCCTGGGGTAGGTACTTGGCAATTCTTTGCCTGACTTCCCGCAGAGCCGAAGAGAAACGGAAGGCACCCTCCTGCTCCTCGACCTCCCCAGTATCCATCGACTTCGGCCCGAGCCGAGTCTGAGGCTGGGTCTCCTCATGGCGAAGAAGGACCCAAACCCGACCGGTGTTTGACCTAGCACTAGGAACAACAGAGAGGGAGGAGCAGACAGAGTACCCAGCGTCAGTGCCTGCAGGCGTGCGCGGACCCGGTCGAGGCAGCTGGAGGCATACCAGGCAGAACTGGTGCCTCGGCTCTCATGGGGTAAGCGGGAGGCGGGGATCCGGAAGCCCAGGAATCATCAGCGGTCCCTAAGCCAGCTCCGAGGGGGACTGGGAGCACCTCCCTCTCTGGGGCAGCCGAGGCGTCCGGACCCGAAGCCAGAGGCCTAGGGATCGAGCCGGGCTCGGCGATCCCCCCCCAAGACATATAACATAAATATGCACAAATTTTGAGAATGACTCAGTAATATCAATGCATTGCCGGAGTCCTCCAACCGACTCATGAACGAGGGACCTCATCGAGTCTGCGTGCTGCTGAAACATCTGTGTGATTAAAGTCATGTCAAAACCGCTACCCAGTGTTCACGAATAGCATCTGACCCTCTGACAAATCTGGCAGATTTGCGAACGGTCTGACAGTAGTCTACAACCCGCCAGCCCCAGTGTCTGACTGTATATTTCACAATGAATTTTGACTGAAGTTGTTATATACTACCCATCAAAAGTTTAGACTCACTTGTGTAAATGTAGCCACTTTCTTCAATCAACTGTTCTAAACTAGATTTTGCAAAATATTCCATACTGTTTAAAGGTACTGTTTACACATGAACTGATGTATGGTAAAACAAATTCGGAACATTGAAAAGATTATTGTCATGAGTTCAATTAATGATGAACCTCAGTGAAAATTGGTGAATATTTAACAAAACTTTACACCAAAACACAGCTGTTCACATGCTCGATATTTGCACATGCTTTTCAGCAATTTGATGCATGATCCTCGTGCAATTCATCTGCATAAGGTTTGCAGTTGATTCCCCCAAGTTAGAGGAGAAATTCATCTTCGATGTAACCTCATATATATACATCACATATAGTGATTGATTTAAGTGAGTCTAAACTTTTGATGGGTAGTATATGTGACATGTGTCACTTGTTTGCTGTTTATAAATCTTATGTTTGTTTATAATTTCAATGCCAATTATAAGAAATGTTAAATCTGAAATGTGTGTTTAATTTTATTCTATGGGTCCTGTGAATTTTCAATGGGTCAGACAGACATCTGAAACTTACAGGACCCAATGTCCTGTTACTTTGAAACACAATTCGTGAACACTGGGCGCGCTACCAGGAGCGGGAGCAGGGGACTGGCTCACAAGTTTTTTCCCTTTAGACTTTTTAGCCTTAGGCGGGGGACCTGGTAAGTTCCCCTCCTGCCTCCCGCATCTCTCTATAAAGAGAGTATCGGCAGCCCTCCGCTTCTGAGCCCGGGGGGAAAACCCCATACAAATTTCACAGGTTTTAGGCCTCATGGCGGTCTTCTCCTAGGCAGACAATACATTTGTAGGTGCCTGTCGACCCGATGGAATACTTTGTCCACAGACCCGAACAGGAGAAAGCGCCCGGAGGAAAGCAAACACTTAAGCATGTAGCTAGCGGCCGGACCAGCAGCATATATACGTAGAAAACATTGAAAAATGCATTGAAGGCTACCGCGAGGAAGAAATAGTAGGGAGAAGGGGACTGGCTATGGGATTTTTTCCCTTAAAGGTGGCGGCTTTTTAGCCTTAGGCGGGGGACCTGGGTAAGTTCCCCTCCTGCCTCCGCGCATTTCTCTGTAAAGAAGAGAAATCGGCCGCCCTCCTCTTCTGGGCCGGGGAAAAACCCATGCAAATTTCACAAAGTTTTGACAGCATGGTCCGTCTTCTCCAGACAGGCGATAGACTTATGTGTCTGTGGGCCCGTGGGATACTCTGCCCACGGAGCCGTACAGGAAGCAGCCTGAAAGCAAACACGCCATAAGCATGTAGCTAACAGCCGGACCAGCAGCTAACATACGTGAAAACATTGAAAAATCGTGAAGGCTACCCGCGGGAAGAAATGGTTGGTTCAATGCGTAATATTACAACCATTGTACGCTAAACTTCCCGCCATGGCAGAGCAACATGTCGTAAACCACGGGGGAAAGTTAGGCGTAAAATAAGTGTAATACGAAGTCACAATTATGAAACATACATACAGGTGGTGTTCCAGACATTATTCTTTTTCGTTCTGAAAAGGTCAGCTCTGCTCGACACATGCGTCTGTTGCGTCAGTGACAGCAGAAGGAATGATGATACGGGCCTAGGTGCTTACCCAGTTGGTGCGCATGCGCAACGGGAGGTAACTCCGTGAGGTGGGGGCCGTATAATAAATAAAAGAGTTTATTTATTGTACAATCTTTTTATTCAAAAAACATTGATACAACTGTCACAGGACATTTTCAGTTTGGAAAATGCATAATATGTACCCCAAGGACGATCTCTATGAAGAAGAATGGGTGGTTTGGGGGGATTAAAATAAATATAAAAATATTTTCCCCAAGTTTGTTACTGTAAAGTGTAGAATAAACTGAGAGATAACTTGGTTACCTTAAAAATATTACTGATTTTTGACTTAAGTTTGTGAGGGTACAAACATATAACATAAATATGCTGCAATTTTGAGAATGACTCAGTAATATCAATGCATTGATAAAACACCTCACACCTAGGGCAACAGCTAAGATGCTCCATGCAGTATTATTACCCCAGTCAATGGGTCATTGTCCACTGGAATGTCATTCTCATCTCTGTGGGAATTTACAAAACATAGTTGGTGCGTGAGATGCTAGAAGGTTAACTCATGGCCATCTTATGTCTCTCCTTTCAGACTGTGTTGGCGGTGATGTGTACAAGTGTATCAGCATGGTGGTGGACCTGCACAGCGTCAGCGTGGAGCTCCTGATGACCCCGACCAGGGACCAAGCTACCCGGGGCGTCCCTGGCAAGATGGATTTTTATACATTCACAGCTGTCCTCTGGGAGTTTCTCTGACAAACACCAAGGACATTGACCTTGTTTCACCGCGAGATTGTTGTGGTGGATACAAGGTTCAAAAAGTAAGTTCATTTCAGGATTGCAATACCAGTACCAGCAGCACAGCCAGTCACACTAGCTCCTGCCTCCAGTTGAATCCTCTACAGGGGGCACCTGTTTGGTGAGGTCGGATACTTCTGGAATATTGCTCATATCAGTGTCAGATCCTATTCACTCACTCAACATCAGTGGTTCCAGTGGAGTGAACATCTGGCCGTGAGGGTGAGACCATTACATGTCTGAATCTTGGCTGTGTCACACCAGAATAGTTTAAAATATGGTTCGCTTGTTATTTTACCCTGTCTGGGGCATGTGCAAACCCACATGTGCACATCATTGCCGGCAAAGCGTAGGTTCACCTCCCCACCACTGTTATTGGCTGGTATCTTGTGATGCGTTCCAGCACAGCCAATGAACTCCGCTTGACGTCTTTGTGTCTGTGTGTTACAACCGTCTGCGAGAAGCGTGGGCTGGGAAGGATGGGCTGCAGATGGAGCTCCACTACCGCTCCAGTCCAGTGGGCACCAGTTCACTGTTCTCTTGTAACATGAAGCTCATGTGCATCTTTGACTGGCTGCTCGGTGTGCACGGCCTTCACTTTCCGATGCTGGGCTCCAATGCTGTGCGTTCTTTATGTGATCACCCTTTCAAAGGTTCGGTTCCACCCTCCCACGGTCATCTTGATCCACATTGGCCACCACGCCACTGTCACGGCCCGCATGACCCATTTTGGCCACGCACGTCACCACCCTACCACGCATCCACTCATTGCTTTACCCTCACGGCCATGTCACACCCTTCACCCCACCTGTCCCTGCCTCACCTCGTGTTCCACCCCATACCCCTCTCCCACCCCACCTGGGCCACCTCATCATCTTTCCACCCCTACCCTCCCCACCCCACCTGACCCTACCCCTCACATCCTCGTCACCCACACCACCCCTACCCTCCCCACCCCACCTGACCCTACCTCACATCCTTCACAACCACCCCACCCACACCCCCACCCACCCTGACCCTTTCACCTCATCCACCGCCACCACCCTACCCCTCCCACCCCACCTGACCCTACCTCACCTCATCACACCCACACCACCCTACCCCTCCCACCCCACCTGACCCTCACCTCACCTCATCATCCCACACCCACCCTACCCCTCACCCCACCCCACCTGACCCTACCTCACCTCATCACACCCACACACCACCTACCCTCCCCACCCCACCTGACCCTACCTCACCTCACACCCACCCACCACCCTGCCCCTCCCACCCCACCTGACCCTGCACTCACCTCATCACCTCACACCCACACCACCCACCCCTCCCACCCCACCTGACCCACCTCACCTCATCCGCACCCACCACTACCCCTCCCCACCCCCTGACCCTTCCCACCACCCACCTGACCCTACCCGTCCCCCGCCACCTCTAGACCTACCTCCTCATCGCACCACCCCATCCTATCTGGAAACACTCACGCTAACCTAGTCATATTGTTTCAGAGCCACAGATGGAGGTTAAAGTGGAGACCCTGGGAGGGTGTGAAGAAGAAGGGATGAGTCGTACATCCTAGCCCCTCACTGTGTCATGGGGTATCATGACCAGGAGGGGCCCTTCATCAGAAGGGAGGTGGAGTAGGTGTTAAGAACATAAATAATATACTGTGTGGGTGAGTGAGTGAGTGAGTTTAGTTTTACGCTTAGCACTCAGCAATATTCCAGCTATATGGCAAACCGGTCTGTAAATAATCGAGTCTGGACCAGACAATCCAGTGATCAACAGCATGAGCATCGATCCTGCATAACTGGGAACCGATGACATGTGTCAACCAAGATACTGTATGGATGACAACTTCTTTATTATATATGATGTGATGTTTTGGTATAGATTCTTGTACCATTGTCAAACAAGAGTGACGAGTGTAGAGGTAACAGTGTATCGATATGTACTTGCTCCGTAAATCTACCTACATGAGGGGGCCCTTTGTAGAGGAGGTGGGTAACATCGTATCTGTATGTACTTGCTATGTAACCCTCCATACAAGAGGAGTCTCTTTGTAGAGGAGGTGGGTAACATCGTATCGGTATGTACTTGCTATGTAACCCTCCATACAAGAGGCATCTCTTTGTAGAGGAGGTGGGTAACAGGTATGTACTTGCTATGTAACCCTCCATACAGAAGTCTCTTTGTAGAGGAGGTGGGGTAACATCGTGATCGGGTATGTACTTGCTATGTAACCCTCCATACAAGAAGCGTCTCTCTTTGTAGAGGAGGTGGGTAACATCGTATCGGTATGTACTTGCTATGTAACCCTCCATACAAGAGGCGTCTCTTTGTAGAATGAGATGGGTAGCATTTTGTCAACACTGTACAACACAGGTTGTCTGTTGTACTTGCTCCATAACCCTTCAAATGAGAGGGGACTTTGTGGAGGAGATGGGGAATGACTGACGAAGTATGGAGGTACAAGTATTGTGTCTCTCTGCAGGTGAATGTACCCTTTGAGCTGAAGCTGAACATCACTGACACCCAGTTTGTAGTTGTAGAGGATGCAACCACCATCGACACCAATGCTGTCATTCTCAAGGTACAGGCAGATTTCATAGTGTTACAGTAACCCTGCTAGCCAACACCAGTTTAGTAGTATCCTGAGGCAGAAGTCCAAACAGGCGACGTATTTATATTGATCTTGTTGACAGATGCAACATGATAGTGGATAGGTGACAAACATGATTGGAATATGAAGCTACTACCATCAAAACATTTCCATCAACTGCTTTTACTCGGTTTTCTCCATTAACATATATCCTGATAATGTACAAGCTTTCTAGGGTATTTACAGCACAGTTGAATATGAGGTATTTGCATGAAATGTATGTATATTCACTTCATTGATGGTGACCTGTAAATAATCGAGTCATTGTCATGATCTTCATTCTACAGTTGATATATGATGACAAAGTCCTTAAGTGTTGAGATGTCAGTATAGTCCACCTGATCAAATGGCATTCTCTCATTGGACAAAAGCCTCTAGTTGTACTCCTCTTTGATGCACATTGCATTGCTAAGCTGAAATTACATAGTGTCTTGCTCTTGTCCAGACTACAGCTGTCCTGATGTACAAGCCTCAGGCTCGAGACAAGGTGTTGCGATGCAGTCTGCAGAGCATTGAGGTCTTCTCCTGCTGCCTCATGTCCGAGGAGGACACTTCACTGTCTATTGTTGACCCCATGACCATCAGCATCGAGATGAACGCCAACCCTCTCCCAGATCTCCGACCAACACCCTCGGGTGGGCTTCTTGATGTCAAGGAGGCAGATCAGAGACAACTCTTACTGGAGGTATGGACACCCCAGAACACTGGAACCTGCTTAATCTGGACAGAATTGTTGCCATCTGTCTGACAGAGTGACAGAAATACAACTAAGAGAGGAGCTATCTTTGGGGCAGTGGGCTGTACATATTACTCATGTCATTTGAAACCCATTTTGTTTTGTTCAATATGGGAGTTTTTATCAGACAAATAGTTAAAGATTACCCTTTGCACAATGATACAGTACCTTTGTTTCACACATTATCAACATTTAGATCAGGGCCAATTTATAATGTGAAGATTTCTAATAATCTTTTTCCATACTTGCAAAGTTCTAACAGTGATATGTTTGTGTAATGCATATAACAGGCTATTCTTTGTGGTGCCATGACAAAACTGAACCTATTCAACAGGTAAACTTCAACACAATGACAATCCGTGTGTCCTACCACGACATGATGCTGTTTCTCTCCATCCTCAACTCCCTGCCACAACAGGCCCTCCAGGCCAAGCAGAGACACAGTCAGTACACAGGGACTACACTGCAGCATGGTAGGTCACACATGTACTAGTAACCCATGCTGTTGCCAGGATCTGCTTGTTTCAATACTACCTCACTTATGATCCTCAATATGTCAGCACCATGTCCATGCTTGTTGTTTCATCACCAATGTGGGCTGTATTTGGCCTGTATTTACATTCTACTATCAATAACTGAGACACTATTTAATGTATGAATGTGTGAACTGGAAATCTTGTGATTTGACAAAACATTACTCAGTAATAGGTGTGTCATTTTAAAACACAATGGCATGGAAATACTAGAAGCCATTGTGGCCCCAATAGCAAACATTGTGGCCACAATCTATAAGCCATTGTGGCCCCAATCCACACCTATAAGCCACATTGTGGCCCACAATCCACACCTCCACATAAGCACATTGTGGCCCTAATCCACACCTATCCATTGTGGCCCTAATCCACACCTATAAGCCACATTGTGGCCCCAATCCATAAGCCACATTGTGGCCCCAATCCACACCTATAAGCCACATTGTGGCCCCAATCCACACCTATAAGCACATTGTGGCCCCAATCCACACATTGTATAAGCCATTGTGGCCCCAATCCACACCTATAAGCCACATTGTGGCCCCAATCCACACCTATAAGCCACATTGTGGCCCCAATCACACCTATAAGCCATTGTGGCCCCAATCCACACCTATAAGCCACATTGTGGCCCCAATCCACACCTATAAGCCATTGTGGCCCCAATCCACCCAGCCATTGTGGCCCCAATCCACACCTATAAGCCCATTGTGGCCCCAATCCACACCTATAAGCCATTGTGGCCCCAATCCACACCTATAAGCCACATTGTGGCCCCAATCCACACCTATAAGCCATTGTGGCCCCAATCCACACCTATAAGCCACATTGCGGCCCTAATCCACACCTATAAGCCACATTGTGGCCCTAATCCACACCAATAAGCCATTGTGGCCCCAATCCACACCTATAAGCCATTGTGGCCCTGTTCTACACTTTAAAGACCAGTGAAGACACACATGTGAAGTATGAGATTTGTTTTCTAGAGGAGATGCTGAAGACGTTGTGTGAGCTGGGATTCAGCTACAAGGACTGTGAGAAGGCCCTGTCAGAGTGTGAAGGCAATCAGGAGGCTGCAGCTCTGTGGCTGGCAAACAACGCTACCCCCGTCCCTCAGAGCCACAAGCAGAACTTTGCCATCACATCGGCTGAGGTACACAATAAGGCTGACCTTTCTGATAATTGTTTTACAGTGCCACTGAGAGGCTAAAGTGACATCCATGCCGTTTAATGAATAGTAAATGATGTTTTCTTAAACATGGCATGGGGGAATGTGGAAGTGTGTCCATAGATGTGTCAGACATTATGATCATTGTTTGACCGCCTCCGTGGTGTAGTGGTTTAAAGTGTCACCATGGAGAGTGGAAGGTCGTGTTTGATCCACGGCCACATCATACCAAGCGACATTAAAATATGGTACTTGTTGGTCCCTGCCTGGCACTTTCGGCATTAATGGGTACAACAAGGACTGATCGGCTTGGAGTCAGTATAATGTGTCTGAGTGGGGTATTCACTTATCTCATGTTATCTCAGTGAGCTAGCTGAGAAAGGAGAGGGTGCACTATATGAGAAAGGAGGGGTGCAAACTTCATTTTCACCCGAGTTTGAATGGGACAAACCCCTCTGGAATGGGCTAGCTCTATATAGTGTCTGTGTGGGGACATCCAAAGGAAACAACATTCCCAAACTTTTCCTCATGACAATAACTCCCTAACTGATGACTTTCAGCTGAAGGCAGTGTCTGTGTGTCTCTGCCTGATTGATGACTGTAATGGCGATGCTGGCGTCCCCTGGCTGAGATCTCCTTCAGTGGTAGGTTGAAACACTTTCAGTAATTACAAGACATAACTACACTGGAATCCTGATTCTTGGGCCAAAGGTTAGTTTGACTCATCCACACGTCCAACATTAGCTTATTACTGTCTGATCTAGGCACCAGGCAGCAGAAGAAAACACATCACTTTGTGCATGTCAGGTAAATAACATCTGTATGATAAAGAAAGATAAGCATTTGTGATTTATATGTTTATGCATTTATTTACATTTTATTCACATCACTTGTCTGAGAATCTATCAAGACACTGCGATCTGTGCTGCTGATGATACACTCTCATACTGCAGGTATCCATTTCAATCAGACGATGGAGCCCAACATCGAAGGTAAAGCTATCTTCCAGATGACAGGAGAGTACTACAACCGCAGCCTGTCTGGCTGGGAGCCCTTCCTGGAGACATGGAGGTGAGCTGCTCCTGCTTCTAGTTCAGTTAGAGTGGAATGTCTCACTTTCCCTATCACCCAGTCTGCAGCTTTTGCTTCACTGTAATACATCAGCGTGTTTGTGTGTTTTACAGGTGCTTTGCTGAGTGGAAACAGTTTAAGGAACCAGAAGAAAAGATGTCATTTCAGATTTCAAGTAAGTTAATATGTTCACTTTTTACTTCCCTTCTAATATCCTGAACATCATAAAGACATCACTTCTATGTACTACTGTCTGGTCTTGAAACCCATCTGCGGGTATATCAGTATGTATGTCCATGTTATTTAGCAGGGTAGGGAGGGACCCAGTGATTACAGTATTCATCACACAAGCTCACCTACTGATCCCGGTATGGGTGGAAGCCCAGGGACACCCTCCATGGTATTTTTTTTTATATTTTTTTTTTATTTATCTTTTTTTTTAGGTACAAAAACATGACATCAAATCACAACTAAATATAAACCATGCGTTTGTATACAGAGTTTGGTTGTATCTCACATTGACCTCCATGGTATTCTTGCCAAAAGCTGAGTAAACCATACCTACTCAATAATTCTATTGCTGTTGTGTTCCAGCCAATGAGGTGTTGAACGTGAACCTGACCAGCACTCTCCTGGAACAGTACCACCTGACGAAGGGCAGCTGGACAGAGGACTACCTGAAGGACAACAGGTTAGGCCATAGTCTCTATCTTTTGTTGTTTCATGTTTTGTTGTTGTTATTTAATGTATTTATTTATTCTTCTAGCCTATCAAAGATTAAACAAAATATAAATACACACTAGATTATGGTATCTTTTCACCTTTACACTGCTAGTGTATTAGGTAGCTTTAATATGTAACCAGCCATATGAAGTGTTATTGCCCAGATGTATGGAGCCTTGCTCATGCTATTAATCACTGGTTGGTTTGGTCAAGGCCAAAGTGATTGGAATGTGCTGAGCAACAAGAATGTGCAGACACTCACTCACTCTCTCACTCCTCACTCACTCACTCACTCACTCACTCACTCACTCACTCACTCACACCTGCATAGACAAGTCAGTGGGTCTTTGTCATATACTAAATGTCAAAAAGAGTAAGATTAAGGGGTCCATCAATCCAAATACTACAGGAGAGAACCTCAGGACCTCCAGGACCCCATGTATATTGCAATCTGGCCAATGTTGCGAGGAAACTAAAAATATGTGTCATTGTTTTTCAGAGACAGCTTGAAATCCCAAGTCAAGTATTCTGTCAGTCCCAGTTCACTACCGTCCTCCAAACTACTCCGTCGTCGCCTCCCGTTCATCCCCTACACCATCCGCAACGACACCGGCTGTGACCTGTGGTACATCACCGCCATCTCCTCTCCATCAAAGTAAGCTTCTCAGAATCATTTAGTGACACTTTCTGGTATCTATAGACAGTTCGTATTATGTATTCCAGTTGTCTATAGATTTCTAGATAAACTAGAGCTGAGCTTTTCTTGTTTTGTTCTGTTTTATAAGTAAGTGCTGTAATGAAATTCTGGGTATTGATGAATTGAGAATTTGTGTGTTTGGTTTCAGTGAACCGAAAGAAGGTATGAATGACACAGGTAACGTCCAGTCATATGACAACGCCTACATTCAGGCCTCCGATTGGAAGCGGGTTACAACTGGAGAGTCCAAACCATTCTACTTCCACCGCAGAGAAAAACTCAGACACAAGGTAGATAATTCGTTAGACACTTTAGCCTCTGCAGTGTTTGAAATGAAGCTTGCAAGTCAGGGGGCCTTGTCATAACCCTCAAATACCATTGAAAAACCTGAATGACACCAGGTGTTAGTCTGAACCACTGATTCCTGTTCTAGGATGTTGAAGTGAAATGAATCTCCAGATGAAGGTAGTGGCAGCTAGAAGCACAAATGTTAAGTCAACAGATGATCAAATTCTATGAAACATTGTTCAGCTGCCATGCATATATGATGGCTGGGAAAATTGGGAATGGGTTAACATTATAGCAGATATAACTGTGTTTTCAGTTTGAATGATATAAAATTATTGACAAATCCGTATGTATATTTGTGTTAAGTGTGACACTTCATGCCCAGTCATTACTTGGTTATGTATATTATTAAAAAACACATTTAAGTATTACAAGCACGTGTTTGTTTTGTAGAAAACCCACGGAATGCACATCAACCAGCTGTTGGTAACGGTGGCTGGCTGGCAACGCCTCTCCCCCATCACTGTGGACAAGGTGGGCGTGTACTTCCGGTACACAGAGCCTGACAAGAAGACTCCTACAGCCAACACAGTAAGATATGCACAGGAAATCTTAGCACAAGTCATGACGTGGCAAGCAAACATTATGACATCATGAAGCTCTCACAACTTGTTATGGTTTTACAAGACAGGATGTGATCTGTCAGAGAGCAACATTCTTTGACAAGTATTGATCCAACTGAAATTGATCTTGATTGAAACATCAGCTCCATGCCATGACACGCCTACTGCATATATTTATACATATCTCAATACTTGAGTCATGATGTCCATCAAAGTCGGAAATATTACTGTTAATGTACTTTATTCTCAATGTGGTTAGTCAGAGGTTGCTGGAGGCTAGTTTGTGATCAGATTCAGGTATTATACTGCAGGATGTAGCATGTTGTTTAGTGATAGGCAGTCTGGTAAAGCAGTACCCAATAGTTATCAGACCATTTTCTTCACTTAAAGTTTGTGTATGCTGTTTTTAAAATGGGTAGAGATTTCAAACCTCAGTATAAAGTAGACACATCATGCATCATATTGTCAGGGGTATTATTTGAAGTCATGTATCATTCCTTACACTGAAGTAACCCGTGAAGATCCGGATTAGAATTGATTTTCATTAACCCATGCTTGTCGTAAGAGGCGATTAATGGGATCGGGTGGTCAGGCTCACTGACTTGGTTGACGCATGTCATCAGTTCCCAATTGCTTAGATCGTTGCTCATGCTGTTGATCACTGGATTGTCTGGTCCAGACTCGATTATTTACAGACCGCTGCCATATTGCTGAAATATTGCTGAGTGCAGCATAAAACTGAACTAACTCACTCACTGACTCACTCACTCACTCACTCTTTCTCTCCCACTGTAGCTTCACCCAGCATGTATTGTGATCGAAGTGAAACAGGACGGCAGTGCCAGGAAGCTGATCGTGGTGCGGTCCTCCCTGGTTGTGGTCAATCAGCTGGACTGTCCACTGCAGGTCAGGATGACCAGCACAGACGAGACAGGTAAGGAGAGCTCTACAGTGCTTATCGTAGACAGTGGGTCAAAGGTTTTATCACTCTTCTTTCAGTTTTAAATTATTTCTTTATACATTTAACTTCATAGAGTTGTAAGATTAATTTTCTGTTGAGAGATTTAAGTTGTTAATGGTTATTAAATTCCTCCTGTCTCAGTTTAAAGTTTCTTGTGATAATCAAAATGTTCAACTTTTGCACTCTCTCAACTTTCACGCTGACCCATCACTGTATAGGACATTCATGTATGAAGTTTCTTGTCAACTTACCAAACAGATATACTCAAAGACAAAAGTAACTCAGAGGTCAGTCGGGTAACTGATCCTCCTGTTTGTGTGGTCAGTTGGGGACTCTGATCCCATTATTTGCTATGGTTGGTGGGGTAGCTCTAATCATTTGGTTCTGGTAGTTAATTGTTGCTCATCACACCGAAGTTCTGTTTGATGCTGCACATGATCTTTATTATTTAACCATTGTTATTCTTATTAAATAATTTTGTTATTGTTATTGTTTTATTTTTAATATTCTTCAGAATTCAGTTACTTTTGCCTATGAGTATATCTGTGATCAATTCATGCTGTACAGTGCCAATTTTGGGTTGACAAAATTTCAGAGGTGACTTCCTATGCTCTTTCGGCATTAAGACATGCATTGTCCGCCACAGAACCATCAGGTTAGCACTCTTCTTGGCTGCATGACAGCATGTTAGTTCAGTGAAACAAACCTTGTTCAGAGTATGATTGAATGGGGAGCTGTTCAGTGTGGGATAAGTATTGAAATGAGGTGGTCCCAGACCCACCTTGCCTCACCCACCTCTCTCCCACACATATACTTTTTCAGAGATGCGTCCTTGGGGTACATATTATGCATTTTCGGCTGTAAAATGTCCTGTGACAGTTGTATCAATGTTTTTGAATAAAAGATTGTACAATAAATAAACTCTTTTATTTATTATCACGGACCCTACCTCGCGGAGTTACCTCCCTTAAGCATGCGCACCAACTGGGTAGGCTCCTAGACCCGTATCATCATTCCTTCTGCTGTCCGCGGCCCTGAACAGGCGTTAGTTGTGATTACCTTTCATGAGCGTGCGGTAGCTGTATTTTAAGATGTCTGAGACACCACCTGTATGTTTGGTTTTATTTGTCTAAAACAATAACAGTAAAAGCCTTACAGTGGTTGTTTCATAATTGTGACTTTGTATAAGTACTATCAAAATCGCCAAACTTTCCGTGGTTTCACGCCAAGTTTGCTCTGCCATGGCGGGAAGTTTAAGCGTGCAGCGTGGTCGTAATATTGCGTTTAAAACCAACTATTACTTTCCGTGGTAACCTTCCGCGTATTTTTCAATGTTTTCTCGTGTTTCTCTGCTTCTGGCCACAAGTTAACTAACATGTTTACGTGTTTGTTTCAGGCTTTACCTGTTGTTAGGTCTGTGGGGAAGTATTCCCGGGCTGACAGTCACTCCCAATCGTGGCCTGTCTGGAGAAGGCGGGCCATGTGGCTGATACATGTTCAATTTGTCTGGCCTTTTCCCCGGGCACAGAAGAGGCGAGGCGGCGGACCGACACCCTGTTTTACCTTGAGATCGTGGCGGGAGGGACCTGGCGCGCAGGTTCCCCGTCAAAATCTAAGCGAGCGTCCAAAAAGGAAAAATCCCGTGGCCCTTCCCCTCTCCTACCACCCAGTGGTTTTGACATGTCTATAATGGAGTCGATGTTTCAGAAGCAGATGGACTCAATGAAGTCGCCGTTGAGTCGGTTGGAGGTCTCCGCCAGGAGTTCCTCACCCACTCGGGCCGAGGCGGAGAAGTCGAGGGTGGGATCGCCGGCCTCGGCTCGATCCCTCAGCCTTGGCGTCTGTCGATCCGTTGCCTCTGGCGGATCCGGGCGCCCTCGGCTGCTCGGAGAGGAGGTGCTCCCAGTCCCCTCTCGGAGCTTGCGCTTAGGCGTTGAGTATTCCTGGTATTCCGGTCCCTGCGCACACCGCCCCATGAGGCGGAGGCACCAGTTCTGCCTGGCCTGCCTCCAGCGTCACGGGACGAGGTCCACGCATACGCCCGGCTGGCGCTGGCGTGGAGCAGTCGGTCTGTTCCTCCCTTCCTGTGGTGCCCAGCTAGGCAGTCCACGGGTCGGGGTTAGGGTCCTCTTACGGAGGAGACCCAGCCTCTGACTTCGGGCACCGGGCCGAGGCAATGGAAGCTTCAGGGGAGGTCGAGGAGCATGGCGGCGGCTTCCGTTTTGCCGACCTTGCGGGAGGTCCGGCAGAAATTGCGAGGCCTACCCCAGGCAGCGGTGCCTGCTGGTAAGCGTGGACTTCGACTGAGTTCGCTTGCCTGGCGGCGTTTGCCCTAGGCAACCCTCACAGGCGCAGCTCCGCATTCTGCCATCGTTGGTGGCGGGGCGTGGTCGATCCCCTCTTGTCTGGTACCCGAGTCAGGTTTGACTTACCTGAACTTCGTCTTGGCCTTCCAGCTTGGGGAGGATTCCTGTTACCGTCGTACCCGATCGTTGGCGAGTGTGTTTTCACTTCCATTAAGCCCTGGGGAGGCTCGGCTTCCTCGGAGCAGCTCCGGCTGCTTCGGCAAAGCGCCCTCACTCCACCTTTGCCCTGGCGGCATCCCCTGCGACGCAGCGTACGGACCCTACGAGGAGGTCTGCGGAGCGATGCAGCAGGTGCGGAGTGGTGGTCCATGAGGCCTACCTCTCCCTCGATACAGAGGTCGGCCCTGGGGCGGAGGGCATGCTGGCGGCGATGTCGCCCGCGTCGTGCTACTCCGTCAGCTGTCGGAAGTTCAGGCTCACCTGTAGCGACGACTCTTTTGCGGTCTGCTCGCGTCGGCGGTGATGTCGCGCAGTCATGGGGATCGCAGGCTGTGGCTGTCGGCGTCTAGGTACTTCGGCAGCAACACAGCAGACCTTGCTGGCTCTCCCTTTCGTCTGGGGCGACCCTCTTTCCGGGGCACAGCAGGTCATCACGGGGAGGCTGCGCTGCAGCTACCTCCTTCAAGGATTCTAAGGCCTTGTTGGAGCACCCGGCGGTGTCTCAGCCCAGCGCTCCGTGCCACCTTCCTCCGCCCGGGGTGCAGCCTACACCCGAGTCTGCCGGCTGGCCGGCCGCTTGGTAGGGGTAGGCGGAGGAGGTAGGTCGCCAAGGGTAGGGGCAAGGAGCAGTCCTCGACTAGCTCCCAGCAGCAGCGGCGGGAGGTCTGCCCGACCTCCCGTTAACCCAACAGGCTGCCGCTCAAGCCGTGTGTCACACCCAGTCAGCTCGCTACTAGGGTCCGCGCCGCGCTCCTACCCCATATCCCAGTGGGAGGCCGCCTCTCTCTATTCCTGCGGAATGGGAGAAGGCTACCAACAGCAGCAGGTGCTGGCCACGGTCAGCATAGGCCATCTCCACTGTGGGCGAGTCGCCCGACTTCACCGGCATCTGGCGCACTCGGTGCCGTCATGCCAGGCCAGAGGCGGACATATTAGCAGCGGCGAAGTTCAGGCTCTGCTGGACAAGTCCGCCAATCGGCGCATTCCACGGGAGAGGAACAGGCGGGGATTTTACTCCGCGTACTTCCTCGTCCGAAGAAGGCGGCGGGTTCGTCCGATTCTCAACCTCAAGGGGTTGAATCACATGCTCAGTACCATCCTTCAAGATGGAGACACTGCTTCGGTGATCTCATCTGTTCAGCCCGGCGATTGGCTCCGTCAATCGACCTAAAGGATCGCGTATCTGCATGTACCCTATACATCCCTCGTTCAAGCAGTACCTCCGGTTCTCTTCACGGCGGGATGTATTACCAATTCAAGTGCTCCCCTTGGCATATCGACTGCCCCAAGGGTGTTCACCAAGCTCATGTTAGTCCCAGCTACCCTAGCTCGCTCGCCAAAGGAAGGCGTTGTTACCCTTACCTAGGCGACTGGTTGCTCGGAGCACTAACACAGCCAGCGAGTCAAGATGCTACTCACACAGTGATAGACATTCTAACTTCGACTGGGGTGGATCATCAACCTCAAGAAATCCGACCTGGTACCCACCCAGGACTTGGTTTTCTTGGGTAGCGATTCAAGCGAACAAGGATCTCGTTTCCTTGTAAGCCCGACCCGGGTCACCAGAGTTGGAGATGGTATCTTCATTCCTCTCCCAGCCCCAGGCACCAGCGCGGACTTGGCTCCGTCTACTGGGCCATATGGCGGCGGCGATCTCTGTAGTGTGGCGGTAGCGGTTGAGGATCGTCCCATACAGCAAGCTTTGGCTCGGCTGTGGACTCACCGCGGAGGATCTGGGCGCAGTCTCACAGTCCCCAGTGGTTGACACCTCACCTTCAGTGGTGGACAAATGTCGGGGAATCTCACCAGGGGTTCCCCTTGGAAATCGGCGCCAGCTCTCACAGTTCAGACAGATCGTCCCTCGCGGGCTGGGGCGTTCTGGGCAGTCTGTCGGCTTCCGGACTCTGGTCGAAGCGAAGCTCACCTTCACATCAGCGTGTTGGAGCTGAGAGCTGTCGCGGTTGGTATTGGCGCTTCAGAGAGCATGTCCGTGGCCAGGTAGTCCGTCTTCAGTTAGACAACCAGGCGGCCATGTCGTACATCCTGAAGCAGGGAGGCGCGGTGTCCCCAAGCGCTCCTCCGGGAAGCGTGGGACTTTCTCCTCTGGGCGACCAATGCGATTGTCAGGTACTCCCTGTTTATCTCCGGGGCTGGAGAAGCGTCGCGAGCAGATCGGCTCTCGCGGATCCTGGCCGCTTGCAGTGGATGCTTTCGACAGGCAGATATTCACAGTAATCTCCCAGTTATGCGAGGTGGCGTTCGAGGTGGATCTGTTTGCGTCGGCGGGGCGCATCGAACACCGATGTTCTGCTCGGATGCGGACCAGAGGCGTTGGCTGCCGGCGCCTTCCTGCTGGATTGGGACGGGCAAAGTGCTCTGGGCGTTCCGCCGTTACCACTCATTCCCGTGTCCTTTCACAGCTGTCCACCCAGCCAGCTCGGCTACTTGTGCTACTGGCACGCTTTGGCCGTCACAGAGCTGGTTTCGGTAATTCTCAGGTTTCTGGCTCAGCCTCCTGTTCTATTACCTTTCGCGACGGACATTCTCACTCAGAGCGGGCCCACCCAAATCCGCAGTTCAGTGGGTGGCAGCCTCTGTCAGGTCTAACCTCGAGCCGCAGCGGAATTCCTGCAGCAGTTGCAGACACAATTCTGGCCGGGTGGGATTCGACAAGCGTTCAGTATGAGGATAGGTGGTCCGCTATGCGGCGCTGGTGTTCAGATAGGGGCATTGCAGATCCCTTTTCTGCGGATTTAGTCCAGTATTGGAGTTTTTGCAAGCTTCGTTTGGAAGAAGGCCTGGCGGCCGACCATTAAGTGGCTACTCCACGCTATTTCCACTTTTCACACCCTGTCGATGGTGCTCTTCTGGGGCAGCACCCTCTCGTCTGGCAGCTTTCTAGCTGGGCGGAGCAGTTCGACCTGCTCTCAGGCGAACCAGTCCACCAGGATTTGTCGATCGTGCTTTCGATTGGCTGTCGGTCCCACTTTCTCACACCTATCGGCTATTTCCATTCAGTTGTTGACCTGGAAAGCTGTGTTTCTGGTGGCGGTAACATCTGGTGAAGAGTCGGCGATATACATGCTATGTCGTCCGACCCGCGCTGACTGTGTTTCACCGCGGATCGTGTCAGCATTAAGCCTCCCAGATACTTACCGACCGAAGGTCGATCACGCTTTCCATGTGACAGCTCCTATCGAACTTCCTACTCTTACCCAGCCTTCCACGCCGGGGACCACTCCTCTGAGCACTCACCCGTTGGATGTCCGTAAGGCGCTCAAAGTCTATATCAAGCGAGCGCGGGGGATCCGTGCGGGTACCCAGCTGTTCTGTTATTCTACGGTGGCGGGAAGGCTGGTCTGCCAGCGAGCAAGCAAACTTTGTCTCGCTGGCTGGCTTGTTTCGTGTATTTGTGCGGCTTATCAGGCTAAGGGCAAGCCTCCCCTGAGGGTTGAAGGCTCACTTTCGGTCAGGGCAGTAGCAGCATCAAAAGCTTTGCAGCGGCACTCCCCATTGAAGAGATCTGCTCTGCGCTATTTGGAGCCGGCCAAGCACTTTTATCGCCATTATCAGCTCGATACACATTCCGCAATCGATGCGAGCTTTGGTCGTACCGTTCTCTCCAGTGGACAGTGTCCTGCCACCCTGACCAAGTGAGTCTTGGTTTATTGGTTTGTGTTGGGCTACTGTACAATGATTCCATTATTGACATGTCTGCTCTGAGCACTCAGAGAACCTGTACCCCTTTCGATTCTCTAAGGAGTTACGATATCGTTAGTGAGTGGTATTTTTGTTTTCCCCTCACGGTGCTCTCACGAAGAAGCCACTTAGTGGGTCGGTTCACTGACATTAGCACTCGTGCAATGTCTCATTATGCTAGAATTAGTCTTTGAGCACAAATCCTCCCTGTCAGTTCCCCTCCCATAATGCCTCTCTGAGGCGAAACTGGGTCAGTGACAGGTGAGTGTTATGGCGTCTGTTCAATTTTTTTCCATGATCGATGGCTATATTTTTGTGTGTGCTTGGACAGAATTCCCTCCTCCCTGGCCTCGGTCTTTGGGAGTCTGTGTTTATGCATAATATGTACCCCAAGGGCGATCTCTCTGAAAAAATTTTCCAAACCTGCAGAGGTTTTCAATTCTTTGAAGAGAGTAGATCCTTGGGAGTAGAACCACCACCACCTCCCGCAATTCTGTTCACTGATGAGAATTCAGCAGAAGGAATGATGATCACGGGTCTAGGAGCCTACCCAGTTGAAGTTAGCATGCGCTAAGGGGAGGGTAACTCCGTGAGGTAGGGTCCATTATAATAAATAAAGAGTTTATTTATTGTACAATCTTTTTATTCAAAAAACATTGATACAACTGTCACAGGACATTTTACAGCGGAAAATGCATAATATATACAGATCCTAAAGGCTGACTCTCTTCAAAGAATTGAAAACCTCTGCAGGTTTGGAGTTGTGCCTTTTGCTATTTGCAGATTTTTGGCATTTTATTTTTCCGGTTTCCATGGAAGCGATTAGGACTTAGTCCCAAAAGTGAGGGGTGGGCTTAGTTTCGGGCATAACTCAAGAACCGTTCAATATTTTTCAACAAGACTTGGTAGATATATCAAACAGAACCTTAAGTGGTGCCTTTTGCTATTTGCCGATTTTTGGCATTTTATTTTCTTGGTTTCCATGGAAACATTTTGGACTTAGTCTCAAAAAGTAAGGATTGCTTTCGTTTCCGACACAACTCAAAACCATATAATATTTTTCAACAAAACTTGATAGATATATCAAACAGATCCTAAAGTTGTGCCTTTTGCTATTTGCAGATTTTTGGCATTTTTATTTTTCCGGTTTCCATGGAAACGATTCGGACTTAGTCCCAAAAGTGAGGGGTGGGCTTCGTTTCCGGAGCACAACTCAAAAACCTCTCTATATCTTTCAGCAAAACTTGGCAGATATGTGAGGCAGATATTGAAGTGATGCCTTTTGCTATTTGCAGATATTTGTGATTTATTATTTTCTCGGTTTCCATGGAAATGATTAGAACTTAGTCTCAAAAAGGAAGGGATGGGTTTTTGTTTCGAGACAAAACTTCTTAATATCTTTCAGCAAAACTTGGCAGATATGTAATCCCAAATGCCTTTGCATTTGCAGAATTTTTTCATGATTTCCATGGGCGATTTGCACTTATAAAAAATCAAGCTGGACTTTAAGTAACTGTCAGATGATTTGTTCTTTCAAAGAGTGGGGGCGAGGGGGATATGTCATCTTCTGATGACTCATGTATTACATAAGCTGTACATTTGTGTGTTAGTTATCATTCACTTGATGCTCAACTTATGACTTTATTACAAGTATTTATTAGTGGTGGCAGCACTGACTACCTGAAATAACTCCATAACGCTCACCCCTGACTGAGGGTCTCAAGGGTATATAAATCAGTGATTCATGTTTGGCATTTCTCCTATCTGGTGTAATTATTCAATTTAAGATTGGGTCTTGAAAACATTTGAAGTGGTGAATGTCTTGTATGTTATGTAATACGCATGTGACAGTGCAACGAGAAGGAATGGCAAGTCGACTTGCAAAACACTTCAAAGGATTAACAGATAATTGATTGATTAACCACTGTTATCTTGCATAGTGGATATGTCAAAATGTGTGTGTGTTGTGTGTGTTGTGTTTGTTTGTTGAGGGGGGTGTGGTTACTGCAACAGACAGACTACATGGGCTTGGACTGAGTTGCATTTCTGGAGTTTCCATATTTGAAATGATGGAGGGTGGCTTCATGTATGTACATGGGGTATTGTTCTAGGGGGAAGCTTTCCAAATTAACAGACTACAGCTTGTTCAGCTTGACCTGAGCTACTCTACATATGCATGACCCGGGAGGTCAAATGGCACAAACGACAGGTCGGGTTAACCTCATTAAATAGGGGAGCAAGAATGTTATTAATGTTGCAGCTCGCTGCCTAAAAGCTCGAATCGGGAAATAATAAATCCTCTTTTTAAAGAAAGTTAGGACATTGCTGACGATTTTCTCGACACTGAGGTGTCAAACCTGTCAAAGCGACTTTGTCTCGACTGTTGGGACATGTTGGCAATCAATGCACCCTTCACAATAGTAGACCTAACCAGGTGTGACAAGGTCACGCAATGCATTAGTATTCACTTGATCAGGTCAAGCTGAACGAGCTGTAACAATGTACTTTTAACATATTACTTCGAAAGTATATCACTAATTACCAATATCATCTACAGTCTTTTGGAATGTAATATGATATAATCAGAAACATGTTCATATTGTATACCTTACAGCACTTTAACCTGATGTTCAACTTATTGGAGTAATTCGTATTTGCTATATATAAAGACCCATTAGTATGTTTAGTTATATCTTCCTATAACCCTGATGGTTATAAACACAGCAGTCACCAAGCATGTGTATTAATGTCCTTGATCCTGCACCCCCAGGCTCCTCCACCATGACCCTGCAGCGGAATGTCCCCACCCCCGTGCCTTTGCCGAAGGTGTACTACACACTGAAGGCTCGGCCGGCTGAGTGGCCGGTAGAATACTGTGACCGTCCTCTACACTGGCGACAAGTAAACAAGGCCGGGGAGGCCAGTGACGGCATCCGAGAGTGTAAGAGCAACGATGGAGGAGGAAATGTACAGGTGGGTGGAGCTAGTTTCCATCATTTGTCCTAACTCATACCTAGTCTGCCCCAAAGATTTTGAGTCGTCTAGCTCGAACATGTCTCTTTTCAGCAGATACTAGTGTAGGTGTATTGACTTTCATAAGTAAAGCTCACTAGATGAAATGTCTCTTTGACCTTTAGACTAGTGGCTATAGTCTTAAACTGGAGCTGGGGGTCGCATAGTAGTTAAAGCGCTAGCTTCGTCCACTTAAAGACATGGGTTCGATTCCCCACATTGGTACAATGTGTGAAGCCGATTTCTGGTGTCCCCACCGTGATATTGCTGGAATATTGCTAAAGCGGTAAAGGCTAAATTCACTCACTCACTCACTCAGACTGGAGCTATTGCAGATCAAAGCTGTTGGTATCAAAGATCCATTCTGTAAATAGGGATCCACAATGTTGCAGTGCATAGTGACTGAATTGCTGGTAGTCCCCATCTTCTAAACATGAAGTAAACAGAGAAACAAGTTAATGACTGAAGACCCTCTGTGTATTCGTGTCACAGATGGTATCTATTCAATACTCCTTTATTTATTTCCCCTCAGTAATTCCAGGAGAGCTGAAATCCGTGATTTGAGACTATATTCCGAACAGCTATCCAAGATTCCATATGATCGTGTGTCCTTCACAGGTTCTGTGTGTCAGTGCGGAGAGAGCTCTACCCTGAAGTGGTCACCCTGGAGGATGGTAGCACCTCCACCCACTGCCTGCCTGGCCACACCATCACTCTGGTGCCCCCTCTTACCATCACCAACCTGCTGCCCCTCGAGATGCACTACTACCTGAAGAAGACCGACATCTCTGGCAACCTCAAGCCGGGCAAGTCAGCAGCACTGCATGGGGTGAGACGCAGAGATACTGGTGCAAACTGCTCTTCAAGTGTAAACATATGGGGGGCCTTACCCTTATCCTGTTGTGTGGAAGTATCACAATTCTTAATTTGTCCAGTAAATATTCATTTTTATCCCCCGGGCATGTAATGCGGGGGGATATAGTCGACGCCTCGTCCGTCCGTCCCTCCGTAATCATTTTGTTTCCGAAGCATAACTCAAAAAACCTTCAATATTTTTCAACAAAACTTGGTAGATATATCAAACAGAACCTAAAGTGGTGCCTTTTGCTTTTTGCAGATTTTTGTCATTTTAATTTTTCTTGGTTTCCATGGAAACGAGTTGAACTTTTCTCAAAGGGAGGGTGACCTTCGCTTCCAAGCACAACGCTTAAAACCGCTCAATATCTTTCTTCAAGACTTGGTAGATATATCAAACATAAGCTAAAGTGGTGCCTTTTGCTATTTACAGATTTTTTTTTGTTTTTGGTATCCATGGAAACGTTTCGACTTGGTCTCAAAAGGAGGGATTGGTTTAGTTTCGAACACAACTCAAAAGCTGTTCAATATTTTCAACAAAACTTGTGGTAGATATATCAAACAGAACCTAAAGTGGTGCCTTTTGCTATTTGCAGGTTTTGTCATTTATATTTTTCTCGGTTTCCATGGAAATGTTTCGACTTAGTCTCAAAAAGGAGGTGGGCTTCATTTCCGGAGCACAACTCAAAAACTTCTTTATATCTTTCAGCAAAACAGGGCAGATATGTGAGTGAGATCTTGAAGTGGTGCCTTTTGCTATTTGCAGGTTTTTGTCATTTATATTTTTCTTTGTTTCCATGGGAACGTTTCGGACTTAGTCTAAAAAGGGAGGGGTGGGCTTCGTTTTTCGGAGCACAACTCAAAAAACGTTCAATATCTTTCAACAGAACTGGGCAGATATATGAGACAGATCTTGAATTGGTGCCTTTTGCTATTTACACATGTTTGGCATTTATATTTTTCATGATCTCCATGGAAATGATTTGGACTTAGTCCCAAAAAACATGAAACTGGACTTTAAGTAACTGTCAGATGATTTGTTCTTTCAAATATGTGGGGGCCGGGGGGATATGTCATTTTCTGATGACTCTGTTTCAGAGTCTACTTGTCTGAATTATTGACCATAAAGTCAGTGAAGTTATATTCATTGTTGCTTAACTGTGAAAGTATTTAACACAAAGACAGTATCCAGCAATGTATCAAAGAGTTATGCTTAGATTTTGTTCAGTATGTTTATGGTAAAAGTAGCAACCTAAAATATAGATATATACAAATGCACATCCCCTGAAACAGTAAATTCTTCAGTATATCAATAGGGCATTGCATGTCCAACATGTGTTTCCTCCAACCCTGCAAATGTGCCCCATATGGGTCTTTCTTCCCTGTGAAGCATGTCCAACATGTGTTTCCTCCAACCCTAAATGTGCCCTAGATGGGTAGCTTTCTTCCCTGTGAAGCATGTCCAACATGTGTTTCCTCCAACCCTAAAATGTATTGCCCCAATGGGTCTCCTTACCTTTTGAAGCATGTCCAACATGTGTCTCGGCATGTCCCTACCCTAGGCTGACCTGGCGCCACGACCTACTGCTGGGTGTCAACGTGGAGAACCTCCCCAGTGCAAGGAACTGACCATCCCCCCAAGCACCACCAAGTACAGAGTGAAGCTGCGTGTCTATGATGACAAGAAGCTTACTGCTGGAGCTCATCCTCAGGATCAAGTCAGCCAGAGGAGGATCTCTGCAGGTAAGCCAGCATATTGTGTGGGAATACATGGACCTTACTTGTTATCACTGTTAATCCTGCATGATCGAAATCAGCTTTTATTCCTCAAGATTTTGTGGTCCAGACTTTATTGTTTACAGACCACTTGTATATAGCCAGAATAAAGTTTACAGGTAAACACTACTTGGTGATGTTGCTAGTACTGATGTTGACTTTGTGTTGTGAATGTCCAGCTGAGTCTGCAGGCCCCGTACTGGCTGGTGAACAAGTCCGTCCGCCGCTGATATTCCGACAGGACAGCGCTCGGGCTGAGGCGGCGGGACAGCTGGAGGAGCATGAGTTGGCCCGGAGTGTCACACCACTGCTGTTCAGCTTCTCAGACAAAGAGGCACCCAATCTGTGAGTTGCTGTGTTTTAAATGAGTTGTCATCTACCAATGTAATTCAGGGTCTCGCCTGTATCATTTTAGTTTTGCTGAATATTACTTTTTTAAGTTGATACCATTCTCTGTTAATGTAAAATGCTATCGTCTACTCCAGATTATTTCCAACTTTAGAATCTGGGCCATGTTCAACAAAGCAATTTTAGGGGCGGTGGGGTAGTCTAGTGGTTAAAGCGTTGGCTCATCACACTGAAGATCCGGGTTCGATTCCCCACATGGGTACAATGTGTGAAGCCCATTTCTGGTGTCCCCCACCATGATGTTGCTGGAATATTGCTAAAAGCGGCGTGAAAACCAAACTCACTCACTCGCCACAAAGCAATTTTAGTGCTAAAACTCTGGTAAATCTATGTTAAGGTATGGAATCACTGTAGATGGATTGGCGGAACGGGCTATGACCCGCGACAATGTACCTGTAATGCTTTGTACTTATATCCTTTACTGATTGTTATTTGAGTAACAGGGGGCCATGGCTGGCCCCTCTTCTTTAGGGCAACGAAATTTGCTATGCAGAGTTACTTAAGCTTTCCAGAACCCTGTGATTTAGCGTACACTTTCTCCATGTTTGTGGGAGAAGCCAGTTGTTAAGCTGCATCCCTCCAGGATTTCCACCTACATGACACTGACATGCCCTCATATAGCTGAGTCTTGGGTCCAACTCACTATCTAAGGCATGTATAATGATAACATGAATACACAAGGTTAAATTACTTCCAGCTTGCTTAGTCCTATTGCTGTTTACTGCCATGGAAATGCATGGGCTGACAAGATATTGGTGTACATGTGGTATAGCAAAGATTTTCTATGTATGCTAGTTGTATGATTTCATATACTAGAACTCCCATTGTCTTCTATGATTTCAGGTGCACCATGAGAGTTGGCAAATCTGTCCATGGCGAGAATGCTCTCCCACAGTGGTAAGAACTAAAGCTGTCAGGTGTTAGGCTGCAGGTACTCTAACTATGGGTACACTTCATACTGTCAGGTGTTAGGCTGCAGGTACTCTAACTATGGGTACACTTCACACTGTCAAGTGTTAGGCTGCAGGTACTCTAACTATGGGTACACTTCACACTGTCAAGTATTAGGCTGCAGGTACTCTAACTATGGGTACACTTCACACTGTCAAGTGTTAGGCTGCAGGTACTCTTAACTATGGGTACACTTCACACTGTCAGGTATTAGGCTGCAGGTACTCTAACTATGGGTACACTTCACACTGTCAGGTATTAGGCTGCAGGTACTCCTAACTATGGGTACACTTCATACTGTCAGGTGTTAGGCTGCAGGTACTCTAACTATGGGTACACTTCATACTGTCAGGTATTAGGCTGCAGGTACTCTAACTATGGGTACACTTCACATACTGTCAGGTGTTAGGCTGCAGGTATTTAACTATGGGTACACTTCATACTGTCAGGTGTTAGGCTGCAGGTACTCTAACTATGGGTACACTTCACACTGTCAGGTGTTGATTATTGTACCACATGATAGCTCCATGGTCTTCTGGGCAGGTGGGCTCACCTTAAATCATGTTAAAAGCAGTGGTTTGTCTACCCTAGCTTGATATCCCATGTGTACAATGTGTGATGGCCATTGCTCATGTTCCTACTGTGATATTGCCGGAACATTCCGACATGCAGTGTGAAACAATACGCTGTTACTCATATGATTTTTTAATACAGTGTTGGTTTTTCAGCTGAATAGTTTTACATTCAGGACAATTTGGCAAAGGATGATGTCAAACAGAAACTTTTTAGTTCTGTTTGGAATAATCCCTGAGAAGATTCCTTTGTCAGAATGCAAGAATCCAGATTCCAAGCCATTATGCTTGTAGTAAGGGCTAATCTTGTGATTGTGTCCTCAGATACTGACTCAGGTTCATCATTATCATCAGGCCTCTTGCCTGGATCACTGTGCATTCTTACCTAGCACTTGAAACCTCACTGGCTTGTCTGGTGCTGACTTGTTTATTTACAGGTTGTTGAAATACACGTTGCCATTCAGAAAGTGGTCATGTATAACATATGTTACATGTAGTAATACTGCTGGAATAATACTGACTTCTGACATTCTGAAGGTGTAAGCGCTTCTCCTGAGCGAGGGATCGCATGAGGCAGCTTCACATAGTACCGACAGAGCAACAGACCAGACTGGTTAGTAGATCTGCAAACCCAGGCCTGATACAGCTTCTTATTAGCCATTCCTAACAGCATTCAGTAAGTGTGGTGTCACTAACATTGCTTGCAGCCATCTTGGCAAGCATCCATCGGGATGAAGGATTACCCCCTTCTATAGAATTAATACTTCTGTGCTCTTGGGAATGGCTAGCTTTACTTTTGCATATATATTTCTATTGACTTTAAAAATGTTATTTTAGTAAAACAATAATATGTATACCTTTCATATGATATTAAATGACTTTAGATATGTGATCAAATATTCTTTTTAATCATTTTCTTCCTTATCAATTTTAGTCAAAATCTAAGTTTATATCTAAAGAAGAAAATACGTTTTCATAATGGCTGACTCCTATCAGAAGTGAAGGTTTTGCTGCTGGTATGCAGTTAGGAAGTTAAGATATTACATATGTTAAAGACAGTAACTTGTGAATGGTGACAGTTGTCAGGTTCTTCCATGTCTTTTGTACTGTTTGTTGTGGTGCCTTCTTCTTTAAATTCTTTTAGTATCCTTTCTTATTTTCTTTCTTTACATTCTTGTTTTTTTTGGTAAAGGATTTGATAATTGACCTAAATAATAATTATTTTTGGTAGTTCACTTTGTTGCCCAGGGATATTAATTTGATGTCTTTTGTTAGTAGACAGTACTAATAATTCCTTGTGAATTTACAACCTTGTTTATCTGTAAGATCAGAATTCCTCAATGACTTTGTGTATTTAGGTATCAGAATCTCGTGTTCCGCTCCCAGATTCACTGATATTCTGATTAATGGTTTGTTAACACCCTTGATGCGTCAACGTGTTACACAAGAACAAAAATGGTGATTTCCAAAAATTTCCAATTTGGAAATATCATATTTCCAAAAATTTCCAAGGCTTGGAAATTTTTGGAAATTTAGGAAGGATTTTACCACTACTTCTTTCAGTTTCTCCTTTTCCCAAGGATCCCCATGAGCGTATAGACTGTGTATTCGTCCTCCTAGGAGTGTATTCGTCCTCCTATGCGATCAACTAGGAACCAATTCTATATATTAGTATAACCAGGGAGACTATAAGACGTTGTAGATTATCCCTGGTATAACTTCACTCGTCTGCATCTTTGATGTTCTAGGTGTTAAAAATTGTTATTGACTGTCATGTTTGCCCTGATATGGCTAGCATTTTCCAAAATACCGCTTTTAAGTGTATGTTTTACTTATTATCCACAGAAGTGCAAATAGTTTTGACCTGTCACGGTTTGCATAAACATAAATTACATAGACTCACGCTACATCATTGATTAAATAAAAGTTTACCGACCCACTGACTAACTGGACAGGGTTTATTACATGTCATAAAAGTGAACCCTTGCCAGGGAATAATAGGTTTATTGTAGTAGAATACATTCTTTCATGGTAACCTCTAATTAACACCTGTCACAAGGGATGGACCGCTTGGGTGGTTTATCATTATAAATCAACAGTCAAGACTGTTGTTTTAAGACTGTAGGCTTAATAGAGAACAACCCATTTGGGTTTGTGGTCAGAGACGGTGTTATGCAGTTGGTGTATTCAACGAAATATCATGAACTTGATAATAGATAATTGGTTATATTGTCCACAAACGGGTGGACTGAGGCAAAAAGAACCCAAATGAATTCCTTCTTAAAATCTTTATAGTGTAACTATTTATTTGGTCATATACAATAAAAGGTGACTAAATGTTTAATTTTAGATAACGTTAAATAATTTCTAGAGAAATCACTACATAAGTTCATATCACAGATGATTCCAGAGACAAATAGTTTATGAGATTCTAGTTTATGAAAAGCATTAAATTCCAAACAAGCCAATTGTTCTCTAATGCTCAGGAATTATTACCACTTACATGAAAATAGTTTGAGATGTCGACTCAGGAAGCCGACCTTTCAATTTTTATAAGGCTCAGGACGTTGACAAGGGGTAGGCTTTGAAGTTTGTGTGTTATTTTAGCCAGGGATACTCTACAACAGGGATAGGTCACTCGCTTGCTTTCTTTACCATTTGTACTAATTAACGTGTGCCTCGTCATGCTCCAACGCACACAGTGACTTGGTTCGGTCCCAGCGTAACTTCGGCTGCGTTTAACAGTACTTCAGCCAGTGTATTGTATCAGTCGGAATTTTACAATGAATGAATGAATGAATTAAGAGCAAGAATTTTATGTGAATGAATGAAAGAAATTAAGAAAAAGAACAAAAGAAAAAGAACATATGTGAATGAATGAAAGAATAAATGATACACCACGGCCATCCCTCCCCAAACATGTTAAAGAACACAAAACTATCGGTAGAACACATATGTTAACATCAGCTGTCCATTTTCAAAAAAAAAATTACTTTGAAACATGTTTTTACATTAGTAACTAATTCAGATATCTTATTGCATGTGTGGAATGACATGTGCATTGACAGAATGTTAACTGACACTGTCACAGACCCCTCAAGAACAGAAAGTTTAGAACTATCACAAAGCGCTGTAAACACCTTTCCAGTTTTGTCAAATACTAAGATCAACAAGAAAGAAAGAAGTTTTAGAACTATAACACTCAAGCATCACAATTTCATATTTTTCACACACCTCAAATACACACTAACAAAAACAACAAAAAATAAAAAGTATCAATGTTACTTGCAAAAACCTTTCACCTGATGGTATATACCCCTCATAAAAATTAAAGGTGTATGTGAAAGATGTTTTAGAACAATAACTAGAAACACTCAAACAACGCCCTGTAGTATTTCAATGGCAGATCGGCGATATGTCATATTTTTCACACACCTCAAATACACACTAACAATTTTTTAAAATTATAAAACTATCACTATTACTTGCAAACACCTTTCACGTGATGGTATATTCCCTCATAAAAATTAAAGGTGTATGTGAAAGATGTTTTGAACACTAACTAGAAACACTCAAACAACGCCCCTGCAGTATTTCAATGGCAGATCGGCGATATGTCATATTTTCACACACCTCAAATACACACTAACAATTTTTTTCAATTATAAAACTATCACTATTACTTGCAAACACCTTTCACTTGATGGTATATTCCCCTCATAAAAATTGAAGGTGTATGTGAAAGATGTTTTGAACACTAACTAGAAACACTCAAACAACGCTCTGCAGTATTTCAATGGCAGATCATGCGATATGTCATATTTTTCACACACCTCAAATACACCCTAACAATTTTTAAAATTATAAAACTATCACTATTACTTGCAAACACCTTTTCACCTGATGGTATATTCCCTCATAAAAAATTGAAGGTGTATGTGAAAGATGTTTTGAACACTAACTAGAAACACTCAAACAACGCCCTGTAGTATTTCAATGGCAGATCGGCGATATGTCATATTTTTCACACACCTCAAATACACACTAACAATTTTTTAAATTATAAACTATCACTATTACTTGCAAACACCTTTCACCTGATGGTATATTCCCTCATAAAAATTGAAGGTGTATGTGAAAGATGTTTTTGAACACTAACTAGAAACACTCAAACAACCTGTAGTATTTCAATGGCAGATCGGCGATATGTCATATTTTTCACACCCTCAAATACACACCCTAACAAATTTTTTAGTTATAAAACTATCAGTATTACTTGCAAACACCTTCAACTAAAGGTATATTTCCCTTCTAAAAATTAAACTAATATGTGAAAGAAGTTTTAGCTTATATAATTTAGTCTTTCTTCGCTGTGTACTGAGAATTGAAGCCAGTGAGCTACAACATGCCCACTTGAAACTTTACTACAAAGCTACTGTACTTATACTGACACTAATAACAATTATTTGACTTGAAATGAAGTGACAGAATAGATAACTTATCTTCTACATGTAGGTTTTCAGTTGTCACAACACTCAGCGTATGTAATCAGCTGTTGAAAATAAACCGGGCTCAATCTTAAAAACTACGCTGCCGCCATATTGGCTACACTGGTCACGTGACGAGCCGAGGCATAGCTTAGGAGCTTTCCGAGGAGTGACCACTCCCCCTTATAGAGTCTCCCTGTTTTAGCACATGGCTAATCTCATGTGACGTGTTATTATGAGCTGGTGGTTGATGGAAGTGAACACATCACACACGGAAGCCGACCGTGTAAAAACATGATTAAAACAATCATATGATGAACACATTTAACAAGGCACTGATCCAGAGCAATTTCCGCGCACTGGTTGTTGCTTTTGTTATTGCTTTCTCCCTGAGCACCCGGACGATATCCCAGTATTTTCAATGGATTCGCGGATCTTTTGTTGCGCTTTTGCGATGCGAAATGATCGAATGATAGGTATAGATTGATCAACAAAATGAAATCTTTTTACTCTGGGATAATATTTCCATCTTCATTTGTATTATAACAAATGAAAACAGTTTGAAGTTTAATCATCTGCCAGTGGTAAAACATCATGACTGGAAAAATAAGGAAGTCAATGGATGGCCTAAAAGTCGGGCCGGCCGGGCAAATTAAGGCGGGCTAAATCTATTATGGGCTAATAAACCCATTAACCAAAACAATGCCTACAATTAATCAATGCAACATACACTCATAATAATAATGATCAATCGGAAGCCACAAACGCACTTCATAATAACTTTATTACGCAGTAAATCGGCTAAAACCCAGGAAGACGAGAAGCCTGTGAACTGGCTGACCTAGGTTACGTGATATAAGTGGAATCGTTAAACGAAACGGGATTTAATACTGATAAATACTTCAGCCAATTCCGATACACATTTCCGCCGGCCCGAAAATGATTTTAGATCTATATCCAATCACATACCACCCTTAAATTCACTATTCATCGATTTAAAGCATGCCCACATTTAAATGATAATGATCTCTTTTCCCACACTCTCAATATTATCTCGCCATTAATTT